TCTTCTATTTCATGGTTCTATTTTATTGGTTATGCATCGCACCCCCCCCCCCCCTGGCTACGGCTATGCCATTTGACTTTGAGAGTCAAAAAGAGAGGCGACAAGACAGTTAAAACAAGTACTTCCAATAAATACTTTTACAGTTTTAATGTGTTTATCAACGACCCTACTAGTCAAATTAATGGAAACGAAAAATAAATGCTTTCATTACGGAAAAACCGGAAAACCGTAGAAATATCTACCTGATTCGCTAGAATAGTCACATTACTTCAGTGCAAACAATTAATATCTATAATATTTATTTTATATTATTGATATCTTTCCCCTGACAATATGTTATCTCATGGTCCGTTAACATCATCAACAATGTGATTTACAACAAGAGATTAACCAACATTTCTTTAATTAAAAAGTTGATATTTCTTGCTTTTTTAAAGCAAAAACACTATGACACAATAGCATCAAGGCAAAATCAAAACATGGTGTGGAAATAAAAGGCATACAAAATGGCCATTAAAAGGACATAACATGGGAAATCTTGCCGTTTTGCAACCATTCCTAAAATCAGTAAAGCATACCAGACTGAGAAACGCCGGATTATGGACAACTGGCTGATGTAATTATGAGCGACAAGACAGTTCAAACAACACATGACGCTCAATATCAATATGTTGTAATGTTTCTTCCAACGGCCCCGTTTATTATATTATTAAAACAATTGCTCAATTTGCAACAACGCTGTATTTATTTTTATATGTGATATACCTGATATATTGATAATATGTCTTCCATAACAAATGCTTATATCTTACCTCAGTCATTTCATTATCTCATGGTTAGACATAATCAATCTTATGATTTACCACAAAGAATTACACCATATCTTAATTTTTTTACTTATCAAACATCACTTATTAAAAATATAAAAAATGGACAATAAAATTTTTGAATAAAACTATCAAATCAGTCATTGCTCAGCAAATACAAAGTATAAAGGAATAATAAACAGAACGTGTTCGCACAAAGTTGAAAATACGGATCGGCAAGTCAACAAGTCTGACCGTTAAATAAACAAACATAACCTATGTCTCCAATTGTTCGTCTGCTGGTCAGAACTTGGTATCCGCTTCGGATAACCAATTTCTGAGAATACTGATGTCTTAAATAGATCAGACTTTTTGCATAAAGACGTCTTTAAATAAGAATATTTAATCTGCAACTTCAATTAATATCGTAAACCACAACACCTTGCTGGCGTCTGGTAAATCTAAAAACCTATTTTTCTTAAAATATTACATTTTTATTAATAGATTTATAAAGTGTAGCTTTCTTTTAAACGAATTGTCCTTATCTAGCTTTATGGATTATCACGCTTCTATTTAGCTAAACACATCGATACTTACTACTCGTTATCAGTCCAAAAACCAAGCATACACATGTATACTATCATATCACGCGCGTAGTTCTAAAGTTAACAATATATTAATGCAATAGAATAAGACACGATAATTAAAAAGATAAACCTCGGTATTCGGGCCTAAAAACCACGGATACGTGTATCAATACCTAGGGGTAAGCAGAAGTAACCTTCCAAATAAGTGTATCAATAATCAAGGATAGCGACAACTAAGCACCGAGTAAGATGGTAATAAGCAGTTTATTGCAAATTATTAAACACGATTTTGTCTTGTGTTTACAGTGGTATGAGGGATAAGTTTACAGAACAAACATTAAAAGAGAGAATAAGTGCGTCATGGCAGGAGATATCACAGGATGAAATCAAGAGCAGTGTCTCTGTATGGAAGAAACGACTCCGTTTAGTTGTGAAGGAAGACGGATGCCACATTGAGCACAAGTTATTAGATAAGTGAGTTGTCGATCTTTTGCTGTAATAACTTTTTATCTTATGCTGTTTAACTTTTGTATTTGGCGATGCTCATCAATCTACATTATAAGGTGAAATAATTGAGTTGTCCTCTGATATTACATTTCTTGCTATGCTATCTTGTATTTGGCGATACTCACATAATATACATCCGATTAATTTAATATTTTGATAGCTTATAGATAATATCCTTAACGTACTCCCTGATAAATTTCAAAGAAATTGGTTAATATCTTGCAGAGTTATAAGAGCTCAAAAAGTGGGACGTTTTTTTGGGACACCCGATATATGAATATTAAATTCCTTTTTATAATCTATCAATCGTTCAATATCAATATGAGAGAAGTGGTTTATTATTCAATCTGACACACAGGTTTCCAGCAGCGAACGGTTCAAAACAATACAAACAAATGATTGAGAATATACTGACTGTATATCACAATGAGATAAAAAGAATAAATCATCAAAGGCGCATACACTTCGGAACTTGAGGTGAAATGATTGAATTTTGAGAAAGCAGGCCTGTTGCCAGATGAGTTCGAGGGTTCTTTCAAAATAACGCAGTTTTTCACCATTTCGAGCACTTTTCAAGTGATTTGGGGCATTTTTTGGGCCGAAGTTGTCAAAAGTACACCCCCCTGGAATTTTCTTAAAATATATCCCGCCCCTTTAATTGGCAAATGGTTAAGGGCCCGGAAAGCTGTATATATTTCTGAGGGTGTATTCCACGCAGCCTGAATGGCCAGTGGAATACATCCCCAAGAAATATATACAGGTATTGCACGAAAACAGAATTCAATATTTGTTTTATTATTTCATACATATTAACAGTTTAACAATATTAATTCTTAACTATATAGTATCTAAATAAACGCATTTATTATTTCTCTGTAGTGATAATCAGCATGTGATTGGTCAGTCATGGACCATGTTACTAAAAATACCTCAAGGTATTCCACCCATGTGTAAGTCATCGATATGAAAGGTGTATTTTTAGAATAATAAATATAGATCATCCTATATAAGGTTCAGGATATTGGGGTTATCCCGAGGTCAATATAATATATTTGCCCCAAAGGCCGCAGGTCCCTCGGGATATTCCGGGCCCTGTATCCAAAACCTCCCAGTACATAACCCCTATTTATCCTACACTTAGTGTACTAAATGTATAATAACATTAAAAAATAAATTTGATATTTCTTGGCAAAATGAATATCCGGAGGATATCGTAACGACTCCGGGCGGAGGATATCGTGACGATATACTCCGGAAAACCCAATATGCGGAGGATATTGTGACGATAGACTCCGCTTGTTGATTTCCCGCCAAATTGACTCTATTTGGCATGGAATTCATTTTGCAATGATATTATACATTTAGTACGTATACACTCCTTGTAAGTGTAGGATAATAAGAACATCCTATGATTTTTTTCAGAATATAAGAAGAATATAAAATGAAAAATTATCATTTTAATCTACTCGGTGCAGTGATATTGATATATGCACTCGTTCGCTTCGCTCTCTCGTGCATATATCAATATCACCTCGTAGATAAAAAATGATATTCCTCAAAATCATAGGATATCCTATAAGCATTCAATACCTGATGAGGTTTCAGGGACATATCAACCGGGAATAAACTCGGGAAAAATAAACTCGGGAAAAAAATGAAAATAAAACTATGCAAAAAATGTGAAAAAAAATTTGGAAAAAATTAGAAAAATTGAAAACAAATTTGGAAAATATTTGAATTTTTTTGAAAATGATAACATATCATATATGTCAGCGTTGGGATACGGTCTAGTATCCCAATGCCCCAGATTTCCATCCAGGATATGACTATTACTGAAAAAATCAATGGTGATCAGTTTACACCAACGCATGCTAATATTTGCATTTTGCTAGAAATATCTGATTTGAATATCAGGAAATGATACGGTGATCACAATTTATAATTTTAGGATAAAAAACACACATCTGTGAATATAAAAAGATCAATATGAAGCATGCACATTGTTTTCATGAACTAGTAAAAAAATTTAAAATCCAATATGGCAGACAAAAACGTTTCGCTACACTGCACTTCCAGCTGATGAAATTGAAGAAAAAAGAAAGAAAATCAAATGTCTCGTATAATACAATACAAAGCAAACAACAAGGCCATAAAGATTTTGAAGGAATATCGATGTAAAATATCTCTGAGGTGAGAGGGTTGATCTGTTTCTCCGGCCCCAAGCCAAGGGACTTGATTTAGGCAAGTTTTATATTGGGTAATCATGGAATAAAAACGTTATTCAATGATTTCTCGTGAAATACAGAAAATATTCTTCCCTTGAACGTCTGTATTTCACTCTGCTAGCGCATCGTGAAATACAACCTTCTCGGGAAGAATATTTTCTGTATTTCACGAGAAATCATTGAATAACTTATAGTATTCAACGAATGTGACGTCACATGTATACACTACTGTGAACATTCGGCACTTTTATCAGATTTTCGCTTTTTGAGAAACTTTTTGAAAAAGAAAAGAAAATTAACTAGAATATTCAAATTTAAATAGCTGTTTTCCGATGATGGGGCTGTCATGTTGTGTAAATCGGTTTATAAAACGCAGCGTCTTAAAATGACCACCTTAACACCGAGGGTCAGAGAGTCGGCACTGACACCTCAACGGCGATGACCAATCCAAGAGACGAGTTTCCACCTTCTAACCAACCGCACATACCTTGTTTTGTTATAAAATTTGACGTGGGATCAAGAACATTAAAAATATCAGCTTTTGTTGGTAACACGCATTGTAATTGACAAGATGAAAACATTCCAAGAGTATCGACAAACGAGACTTCAGTGAGAACTTGTTGATACAATATCAGTTCTTATTGTTGATTGTGGAGGTATTACTCAGATCTAGATGATACAATAACTTACACATCATCTATAAAATCAATCGACTCGCCGTAATTAATATAAAAGAACCAATCGCTTTACAAGCATTAAAAGCGATACGATATACACCGATAAATAATGGTACATCGTAAGGAATGGGGAGCCAAGTTCAGACTTATCCATTTTATGAAAAAGTCACAGAGTTTTAAAGCAGTTGAATCACTAGAATGAAAGGATTGGCAAAATGCTATGTTTTCATAGCACTCATAGTTGGAAGGTATACCGTGGCTGGTGACAGATGCGGAAATCCAGACTGTAGTCCAATAACGGACATCAGTAACGGAGTGGCATTCCAGGAATGTCCAGAAGTGAGTCTTGGGACGAACTGTGATGTTAAAGGTATGTTATCTCTCTGTCAAACCTAGTCCTGTGTAGGCTAAGATTGCCCATTTCGAAATAAGTATCAGATCGTGCGAGCGCGAGGGATCTTAACCACTTTTTCAAGTCTTAAATTTTGTTTGGTATATTTTCTCTCTATCGAACCAAGTCCGGTGAAGGCTAAGATTGCCCATTTCGAAAAAGGTATCAGATCATGCGAGCGCGAGGGACCTTAACCACGTTTTCAAGTCTTAAATTTTGTTTGGTATGTTTTCTCTCTATCGAACCAAGTCCGGTGTAGGCTAAGATTGCCCATTTCGAAAAAAGTATCAGATCATGCGAGCGCGAGGGATCTCAACCACTTTTTCAAGTCTTAAATTGTTTTGTTTGGCTCATATCGTTCCTTGTCATCTTTATTCACCATGGAATGAATGCGCAACCTTTAGCGCTAAGCTTTCGTATATAATTGTTTCACAGAGTTATTTAATCAGTTTGAGAACAAAGTTCTCAGTCTACTGCACGTTACGCCTGCTTTTGGACAATTTTGATATGTTTACATATTGTAGATTTCTTTTGAATATTCATAATTTTATTTGGGTGATATTTCTGTATTTTTCATGAAAAGGTTATCGGCGCAGTACCCTGCAGCTGATGAACTTCTTTCTCCAAATCGAGACGTGTTTTTATTGAATCGGTCTACTGCGCGTTACGCTTGCTTCAGACAATTTTTATATTGTTACATCTTGTAGATTCAAATGTAATATTTTGAATATTCATAATTTAATTTGAGTGATATTTCTTTGTTTTTCATTAATAATTATAAGCTAATGAGACTGTTCTAAAACCGAGACTTGTCTTTTCTAAAAAAATACACTAAGTACATACTAAATATTGTTTACTGTATTGTATCTTTATTTCCCGTATCAGAGATACGGAGCAAACAAACAGTTTAAATTGCATATAATATATCAGGTTGTAATTAAAGATACATGTACAAAAAGTTAAGTTTTTTAAAAGTTGGAGACTGAATTTTCTATTTGGTATTTCACATTTTGCAGTTTGAATCTAAAGAGGCTCATCTCTGTCCTGGCCGATTTTAGGGTAGTTTGTTTTGGAAGATATTCAAATAGTAATTTCACTTTGGCTGGACAAGTTTGCTTAAAAAGTGACACGTTCCTAATTCACATCGCTACACATCGGAACACCCTGAAATGAAGTCAGGTACCGTTGTCACAAATGGCGGCAACATGTTCGTATTCGATTTGATTTTCAATCAATCAGAGAGTCTCTATTCATCATATAGTTAAATACGTTCCATCATCGAAATGAAGGCTTTTATTTTACCGATCAAATTATGACACAGGACAACAGCTGCTGTAAAAATGACACAGTAAATGTGGGTCATATCTGCTGTAAACTCGGGATAACAACGGTAATATTTGACAACGGTATGTAGAATGGTAAAGTGTTTAATTCACGTTGTCATTCCTAGGTTCCAATACAATACAGCTAAAATAGTCATTTGTCACATCTCACCATATGCCATTGTCTTTGACGATATGGAAGACGGTATATTGTCGCGACCCATGACCACATTTAAGCAAAATTCGGATTTCATATAATACACCATCACAAGAGCTTAATACATGCACATATTTAGCTACGACAAGGTCCTATGAAATGAAAACAAAGTGCTTAAAGAGTTGAAGCGACAAAAGTCTGCAATTTGTGACAACGGTATCTGACTTAAAATCGTTGTCATGGTGTTCCGGTGTATAATTAGCAACGCTTAATCGTTACATCGTCAAATTTACGGTATTTGATACACTGAAGGGTTTAGCCCTAGAGTATTCTCAATGACTGATATTACAAAAAAAGCTTAAAAATTGGAGTTCTTTTTCTAAAAATTATTAATTAAAAAATCAGGAGAAAATTGGTGTTACAAAAACTAAATCAACAATTCAAAAAAATCGGGATTGCCAAAAAATAGAAAAGTCTAGGCGAAAACTAAGGGCGCAATGAAGAGGTGGTAAGCTTGCCGCCCCTCCGTTGCAGCTCGTCGATGGGACTGAGCAGGGGCGTAATAATTCCGTAATTCACTAATTCATTATAAGCAATTGATACGACCTTCGTTTATCAATAATAATTTGAGTAATGGTTACCATTATTGCAGGTATGGAGAATGGAGAATCTGATAAAATGCCATCAATTAATGTCAGCGGATTACCAAGGGATAATTATACATTCTACGTTGTTTTGAATTGATTGAATTTTGTCTTTAGCTACTTATCGTTATTGATTGTTTTACATTTTATGATGTCGCGTGCTCAATTAGTAATTGCGCTGATATAAAGATTTAACATAGTTGGTTGTCAAATTACAACTATGATTTCCTCAAGACAATGTAAATAGAACTTTGGTAGTTGTGAAATCTTCTGGCATGTTCGTGAGTCATTGTCATTCAATATTCCAAGCATGCAACTAACAATCCGAATGGCAATGATTTTTGTACAAATCTGTGTATGCGTCCATATCAGATGATAAAATAAAGTGTTTTGAATGTTTTCTACTTTAATTTACCCGTAGTGTCTTGTAAATTAGGAACGATTTGCATAAATTCCAATATTGCTCAGAACCTTCGAGAAATTTGAAAAATGGAAAAAGGGGGCAAATTTGAAAGTTTTATTTTCTTTATATCAATTACCAAGAATGTTACCAGGAGTTGCTAGAAATTTCTATAAATAGGCCTATTGAACGCTACTATCAAAATTATTATTGTTGCGGAGAACTCAATTTCGTGATATTTTTTAATTTCTAAAGGGTTTATATTATGCTCTCTTAATATATTCCCATAACACATCCCTTCAAAGATTGCATTTGTTTTTTAAAATCTTATGAACATTTTGATCACATGTATTGCGCATCTCTATATGTGTGATATTATTACGTATAGACGACGAAATAAAGTTGCGAATCAGTATGCTTTACATTATCGTAAATACTTTGTTACTGCTGTATTTGGGAAGTGTGTATTACTTTGTTTGGAGGTCCACTAAAATTACAAATTATAAAGTAATGTTGGTCAACAATATTTCCCACGTGGAAATGATTACTACACATATGCCCTTTATCTTAGAACTGAACAAATGGTAGCGAACGCGAGTTACAATAAATGGACGCTGATATCTCGAAAAGTAACCAGACTCCCTATAATTTAAAGATGTCATTTTAAAAGCAAAAAAGGCTCCAAAACGTAATAAAATATGTAGTTTGGATGTTCATTTATGTCTGTGGATTATATTTTATACCACAAACACTTATAAATACCTGAAATTTGCAATAAAAGTGCCCAAAAATTGTTGTTTCAAAATTCCCCATTTTTCCTGTATCGCGCTAGTCACGTGACCCTTACGCGTAGCAGGCAATGCCTAGTATTACAGATATCACAGTACATATTTCAACATGTTCAATATGGCAAACATCAGCGATTCTGAATCCCGGGTTCTGGGAAATGGCTATATATAAATCGGCGAGAGGGTGTTATTTAAGGAGGACAATTTAAGGAGGGGAAATATGTCCAAGTATGCCAGTAAAAGAGCAGATATGGACTTTAGACAAGTACTATGACGGAGAATCAACTAAAAAAATGTGCGTTCTGGAATGAAGACCCGTTGCCATTGACTGAGAATCCCAGCGATCCTATAATCCTACTCAGTTTGAATTTAGACGCGGAAAACAGGTTATGAAAACGGGCTCTCTGCAAAGTTATCAAATTTAGAAAATATGGATCTTGTTTTTGAGTGGCTTAACAAGCATTCGGATACAAGACTTGGCGCTATCTCTTGTCAAATACACGCAGACTTGCAGTAAATTGGCCATTGCAAATTGCAAAATCAGATCGTCAAATTAATCGCTTCGTTTTTAAACGTATGCTTCATATCTTCATCCAAAACTTAAGGATTCGATAGAGATAAGTTAAAACTTGTACAGGAAGAAATGGGAGATCCTACCTTAATTTAGAATCGCTGATTTCTCTGGACAAATTCCGAGAAGAAACTGTTCAACATCGCGATCAGCTCAGACTAAACTTACATGTCGTGCATGTCACTCTGAACTCACGTGATAAAATACGGCATTTTGATTGGTTACTACTCGTGTTGTCATGACGCGAAAAACAATAGTAAACACTGAATATGTTAATGAACTGTCATATATGGAGCAATTGTCTTTCTGATTGGTTAACTTTACACGCCTCCTAAATGAATATAGTAGTCGTAGTAAATGATTCATTGATAACTCTGAAAGTGGGCGTGACCAGCTTTATTTTGACACCAAACTCAAGATGTTTCAAATAAAAATGGCCTCGCAAGACGAGGTTGAAATATCGGCAGTTTGATACTGATATGGTCTACGATAGACTGCCCCGCGTCATATGTCACGTGAGCCTATATTTGTTGAAAAATGAAAGAGATAGTGACACTTTTTAATCTTAAGTTAATACCAATATTACAAACACATATCTATTTTTTTTATTAAATATTTATTTCTTCATTATACATACATTTGTTTTACACTGCATTGATTTATTTTTGCAAAACCTTTGCTATTAGATCTTTAATGTAGATTAATCGAGCCAATGATAACAACAGGTACGTTTTGATAAAAAAAAGAAGCGGTTTGCGCTTATTGGTTGGTCAAAAACGTCATACGTGCAAAGTATCGTTCGGTATTTTCGAATTTACCTCACGTATTTAAGGTAAAAAGTAAAGTCAATTCTTATTAGCTCGACGATATCATTTTTGTTATATTATGCTCTCATTTAGGGGAAAATTAGCTTAATTAAGACATAATCCGATTTACTATTGCCATCCTACAAGTATTGAAGATTGTACCCTGGCCTTATAGATACGTATATTTCATTTTATTAGTTTTCCTATAGCCTTGCCACAAGTCGGTATTTTTTACTTTATCTGATCTTGAATTATTACCGCCTTGTGTAATCCGATAGGTCTCCACTGTTATTATGATAAATTATGCACCAACTATGACGCGTGCGCTATAGCATTAGCCAATAGCGGTAGTCGTATACAAAATCAATAAATAAATCCACGTGTTCGCCATGCGGTTGTGAAGTTACAACAACCATGCGGCATGCTTGCAGTCTGCAAATCCAGGTATCTCCCTTACAATAAAACGCATTCACCAGAAATATAATTACTCTTCATTATCCTTTTTACAGCATAACTATAAGTGTTTATATGTGAACCGATCAGTCATCAACTCTCTGATATTAAATCGGTTCAATATTCAAAATACATTCAAATTACTTTCAATTATATTTAGCAAATAAAACGTTTATCAATTTTGCGAGGGTCATTTTCAGTTTTCAAAGCTTATGATAGTAAAGCGAGGTAGGACTTCCCACAATGCCATTATCAAAGGTTCAGATACTAACTTGCTGATTGGAGCAAAATCGACATTAGCATTACCTCGTGTGTTTGTAACCTATATTTAGACATTGAAAGATCGCGTGCTATTGGTCAAAATCACCGACATAAACAAACTGTCGGTAAAGCACGTGGCTTTCTCTTTGGTACAAGGCGGTCATAATAGAAATCAAGATAAGTAAAAGAGACCGACTTGGGGCAAGGCTAGTTTTCCTAAAACTAAGCCTTCTAAAATCGGCTTTACTGTACTTCTTACTTGCATTGGTAACACAAAACTATTAGTTGGGGTTTGTGTAAACTTTTGTGTGGTATAAATACCCCGCCTGCCTTATAATGTTTGTGTGGTATAAATACCCCGCCTGCCTTATAATTACCTGGCATGTTTCTATCGGAAATGTTCGTATTTTAATAGTTAGTATTTAGTTTTTAATATTAAAGATGCTGCCCTAGATACGCAAATAAAGAACATTGGAAATTAAAGTTTAGTTTACGAAAACACGAGGTCTAAATAAAGTAGTCACTTTTGCACATCTACTGTAACCACGCTTTAATTTTTTTTCAGTGCAATATGCCATGACGACGTTGAAATATCCGTGGACCGACAATATTTGTCAAACTCTTGGTTCGAGGTGGAAATATGCCATTGACAGTCAAGATAATGAGAGACACTACCACATGCTTCAGGTGGCAACGTAAGTTGAATATGAAAATAATTTCTTGTATTTGTTCATGGAATTGTGTATTATATCATCTGGTTAAGCTGGCAACGTTCATTCAGTATGAACGTTTTCTGTTGTAATTAACCCTTTACCGACGTGAGTGGCCTGGTGACGGATAAGTAAGAGCGGTTTTTAGGTAAAAACTGAAAATGACGTATACCCCGGGACCTATACTTTAAATGTTATCACTAAAATACAATATTACATGTCAACAACTTGTCAACATTTGGTGTATGATGTATGTAAATACAAATAGTGGTGTCAAAAGGAGCCTATCGTTCTGAAAGGTATGGCTCCATATGAGGCCTATCGTCGTGAACAGGTTAAACACTCTTGTATTCTACTCGGTTGCGTTGGTTACCGAAACAGATCGTTTTGGTAACAAAATGTCGGAACCTCAAAGAATGATTTTTCTATTTCCTTATTTCACGCGTTGTAGGCAGAATTTCAACGACATATTTATCACAAACGTGTGTTGGAATCATATGTTTAAGAAAATGTACATGTTTGCGAAAAAATAGGTTTGAAGATAACAGAATCATCAACTTAATACCTCACTATAGTAAGTAAATGGAACGGGCTAGAAGTGCAGATCTTAACCGTTTTTGAAGTTCCATTTACGTAACAAAGGGAAGTATCAAATCGACAATTCTGTTGCCTTATGTACTATTTGTTGGTAAACATGTACATTTTCTTAGACATATAATGCCGACATACGTTTGTCATAAAAATGTCGTCGGAACTCTGCCTAAAACGCATTAAATAAGGAAAGAGAAAAATCGTACCTTACAGATTTCAACCTTTTGTTACCGAAACGATCCGTTTCGGTTTAGTTTTTTAGTTTTCATGGTTTCTTTATTTTACTTTACAAAATTATCTACAAATGACAGGGCCGAGGCTGAAATCAGCATTATTGGCCCTGTTAATACAAAGTTTATTCAAATTTACAAAATAGCAACAAAATGACTACCAACATGTATGTATGCATGGCAGGAATGTGTTAAAACTATATAATTATATCAATGCATTCACACAATGTATCCGTTTCGGTAATCGAATGAAGTATAGTACCAGTGTAAAAATGCGGTCGTTTAATTTTGGGGCAACGTAAGTTGTATATTACCATCTGGCTTTCAGTTTTAGCGTTTCAGCTTTTCCTTTCAGTTTTAATTGATAGAAACTCTGTCAGTAATCTACAAGTTTCATTTGTAAGAAAAATGTCACGTTAATCGATATGGCACATTGACCTTGAAATAACAAAAACACTATTCAACCATTTATCTAATTCAACCATTTATCTAATTCAACTTGTTCAAATTCAAAGACTTGAGAATTATTTTTTGCGATTCTTTATATTTGCAATATTGGAAATTGCAGGAGTCATTCTTGGATCGGCCTTCAAAAGACTAACACCTGGGAGGAGAGTGTTTGGTTAGATGGTACCCCTTACAGCACTACGTGGAACAGATGGGATGGCAGTGACGACAGTAGTACCTGTCTTGAACTGGCTGAAGACGAATGGCACTCGCATGGATGTGGCGATAGCAAGAATGTGCTTTGTCAGAAAAGTGAGTTCGGTAACTATGTTATCGATTTAATGCAGCGTCAAATATACAAAATGTCAAGTTTTGGTCTTATATTATTCCTAAGCATGCCTTGTGACATCGAAAACTATGGTCATGTTTCCATGTTTCTATTATTATTTTTCTTCTAAAAGATCTAGTGCCCTGCCCTGATGTAGCGATAACAAGAATGTTCTTTCGGTAACTATGACATGTTTAATGCAACGTAGATTATACAAAATGACGAACGTTTTTTTGATCTTATATTAATCCTAAGTACGCCTTGTTACATAGAAAACTAAAAATGATGAACGTTTTTTTTGGTCTTATATTATTCCTAAGTACGCCTTGTTACATAGAAACTATGGTCATATTTCCATGTTTCTATTGTTTCTTCTAAAAGATCTCGTGCCCTACCCTGTAGTAGCGCTAACAATAATGTTCCTTGTCGGAGAAGTGAGTTCGGTAACTATGACATCGATCTGATTTAATGCAACGTAAAATATAGAGAGTGTGGAATTGTCTTATATTGTTCCTATGTACGTCTTTTTACATCCAAAACAATGGTCGTGGTGCCTTGTTTCTTTTATTTTTTAAAGACCTTGTGCCCTGCTGATAATATCTACACATATTTTTAAATACGTCGGCGAAAACGTTGAATTCAATGAATACCATTCATTATACGATCGAAATGTAAATACGTCCTTCTTTTTCAAGTTCAACACTCTGATAGGCGGTCCAAAGATCAATATGTATATATGGGATTGAATTCAATACATTCATATTCTAGTGTGAATATATAGGATTTAAAGACAAAAAGCCCAAGATGAAAAAAAAACTTTTACGTCTGAAATTACCAATAATCATTTTTTTCATGACAAATTATCTTACAAATCAGTGTGAAACCAACACCCCGTGCAGACAGATCGCCTAAAAGTACATTCGTATGATGTGAGACTCGACATTCACCAGGAAAGTAGAAACATTTTGTCGCACATGATGCAAATTAATTTTTTTACTCCTAAATAAATGCTGGATGACCAGTCATATTAAGTTCTATAAGTATGAATAAGTATGAGAATAGCATGAAAATGATGATTGAAATGAATTTCATATTGAATTTCTAAAAATAGAAAAAATAGTAAGGCATGTAGGTCCGACTCCTCCTGGTAGCATTAACATTGGTCTCGTATAAGTCATACAATTAATATTTGAACCCGACTATTATTCAAACTTATGATCGGACATAATTATGATGTGTACTTCAATGTTATATCAAAAAGTAACATCATACTTATGTCCGATCATAAGTTCGAATGATAGTTGTATTTCAAATATTAATTGTATGACATGTATGAGACCAATGTTAATGCTACCAGGGGAATCTGACCTGATGTATATTTCTTAGTTTTTCAAAGAAATCTACAAATATTTCATGACGGTTTTATCTTTACATCGTAATTTTGATCACCACCATCTCTTTCCCAACGGGTTACCTTGAAATATCAAGACGTCATGCTAAACTTATACGTATAGAACTCAATGTAACTGTCCTTGACCATTTACTAAGCAGCAAAGATTAATTTACTTCATGGGTGACAAAATGTTTCTACTTTTTGGTGAATGTCGAGTCTCGCAACTTCCGAATGTAATTGTAGGCGATCTGTCTGCATGGGTGAACCAGAGAATTACAATAGTTGTTTTAACTCCTAGCGTTTTGGATCAAGATGAAGAGATTTCCGTGATTTTGAATCAATGATGACTGTTTAATTGAAATAAACATATATAGCTGTACTCATATCCAAGATTTTGCTGACGCATGTGCAGTTTTTAGTAAACACGCATCCGTTTCTGTTTAAATCAGCATATCCTGCAAATCAATTGGTTGGCGTATCATGATCGTATCGTCTGAAGTACATAATGCTTGCGAATAATCAGTAACAAAATAATGAAATCTCCTTATGACAGCCAATCACTTCTTATTAAATAGAAGTGACGCTTATCAGCAAATGATATACATAGATTAAAACAAAACATGTGAGGTATTTTTAGAAAAACAATTTGACTACCATGGCAGACAAAATGTTCCAATTGCACCTCATGACTTTGTACTCTGGTGATCCTGGATAACTATTTTATCAGAATTGAGAAATAATTGAATGATGTATCACTGGTAAGAAAATCAAAGGGATTGGTTGATAAAAAGTATCTGTGTAAAAAAGCGCCCATTACTTATTGATCACCCCTCGTATAATTGCAGTATTGCAAAAGGGCAATGCGCTGACATCAAGTTTACGTCATGTTTCATTCAAGTATACATCTGAGTTATACATTAAACAAAATGCTATATAGAAAAGCCTATTAACTCACTAATTCCAATTCGATACAGTGCTTTAATAATTGGATTGCACTTCGTGTGATGAATAAGTTATTCCGAGTGATGACAATAAAACAATACATTGCAATCAACCAATATCTTATAAGCCATTTATAAAAAAAGAATAATATAAAAATACTTGCAGTTGTGCATGAAGGTTTGGATAAAATCAACAAATGTGTTCCAAATATTCGCCTACTTATTTCCAAAAATAAATGATATATTATATAATAAGAAATCACCTGAACAATACCTTTAGTATCAATTGACCTCTATCGTGTCCAGTTTTTAAAGTCCATCGCTTGAAGTTTTTTGAAGTTGTAGAGGAGTTGAGAAATGAGCATCTTTCAAAAATTATTTGAAAAATATGTTTTAAAGAATTTTCTACACGATATACAAAATAATTGCACCTGAAATGAAGGTTGTTAATTGAATTAATCGTCAAATTAGCAAATGAACCATATTTTTTATTTTCCTTTTTCTACCATCTACCTACTGGTTAACAAATAACAACGTATAACATATTAGCCTTACTATACTCAAAATTAACAATTGAAATGCCTTCAACTATCTTCAAATTATATCGACGATTAGAATGACCGTCCGTCTCATTTCCCATCATCATCTCTCACTAACATTCATATACATCATCACGGGCAAGATCTGGTGGACGGCCGTCTGGCTGTCCGTTGCAATCCTACACACTCCAGTGATTTATTTTATGTTTTTCTCTTTCTAGAGGGAGGGGGCAATAATGCTATATAGCCTCGGCCCCTCACAATCTATATATGGAAATAATAATATGGAAATAAATAACAATAACCTAAAAAATTAACAATCGATATACCTCTAATTAGAACAAATATGTGATAACCGTCTGTCGCCACAAGAAGCATTAATTTCTATACAATATTTGAAAATTGTATATATTCCATAATATTTTAAATTTCTAGTATTTGGGTGTGACGACACCTTCCCTGCAGATACTAATGCGGACATTGAAAACCCTGGGACTGTAGAAACCTATTATAACAATGTGAAATACACTTGTCACGAAGGGTTCTTCATAGGCGGTGAGGTTAACACAACAGCCGAGACAATACAATGTAGGAATAATGTATGGGACGATCATACTCCTTGTGAATACCCTCCATGTAGCGATCCACCAAACGATATCTCAGCAACTATATCACTAAGCTCTCCCGCGAAAACAATTGGTACCATAGCAACCTACGTGTGTCACAATGGATATTCAATTGGAGGTGGGGTCAGTAGTACTTTTAATGAAACGATGACGTGTCTAGAAGGAGGTGCATGGAGCAACACACATACACCCTGTGGTAAAAGGTCATGTGGAACGCCAGAATCATACAATGGCGCAAGTGTAACGCCCGCAGGGACATTGTACACCGATAAAGCTAATTATCTGTGTGATACTGGTTTTAAGACACAAAATAATCAAATGTCTTACACAGTAGAATGTTTGGCGAATGCGATTTGGAATTACACCGAAAGATGCAGACTCGTTGATTGTGGGTCTGCTCTGCTTCATTTCGCTGCACATATCACTTTTCAAAATGGAACACTTTATGAAAATACTATTGAATATACATGTAACCCTGGTTATGAGATGGATCCTACCACAGGAGAAACTCAAGATGAAATAAAGTGTCAAGCCTCTGGAATTTGGAGCAACCTGACCAGCTCTTGTCAAAAGAAAAACTGTGGTGAACCGATAGCTGATGAAAATGCTCTCTCAATAGTTAAAGATGGTACACATTTTCAAGACAATGCAAACTATACGTGTTCTCCTGGCTATAGAACGGGGGGAACTATCAGTGAAATTGTATATTGTGATGAAGGCGGTTCATGGACACATCATACCCCGTGTTTACCTGTTGTGTGTCCCGCTCCACCTACTGATCAAAATGCAGAGGTGGATGTAAACGGGCTCAACTACAATGAAACGACTGTGTACACTTGCCACGTGGGTCACTATCTAGATGGACTCATAGATTTCCCCTCTGAGTTAATAAGGTGTTCTGAAGATGCTCAATGGACCCCAAATCATGCTCCATGTATGCCAGTCTCTTGTGGAAACCCTGATGATGATCCCAATGCAGTAGAAGTAGTAAATGGTACACTATATAATGATACCATGTCTTACGAATGTAATAATGGATATGTCTTGTCGGATTCTACTGATATGGTCAACAGAATTATAACTTGCCTCAGTAATGGCATCTGGGAGAGTCATGCTTTATGTACTCCGATTGATTGTGGGAACCCGCCAGTCGACATTAATGCATTCGTAAGCATATCTGGTACAGTATATGAAGACACGGTACGATATGATTGTAGTACTGGTTACAGACTTGGGTCATCGACTCCCAGTTCAGCAACGTATGATGTTATCCATTGTCTCTCAAATGGGCATTGGAGTGACCATTCCCCTTGTAGTCGAGTACCGTGTGGCTCCCTTCCAATTGATCAGGATGCAACAGTGATTGCTGGCAATATGTCACATTTAGACGGGAGTAATATTTCAAATCTGTTTAATGATAGGGTAATATTCATATGTAATTCAGGATATGTTATAAATGGTACAACATTGACTAATGAGACAGTATATTGCACTGACACTGGTAACTGGAGTGAACATACCAGTTGTGTTAGACGCTTGTGTGGCCCGCCACAAATTGACAATAATGCATTAATGCTGACAACCGACCATTCGTATTCATACGAATCGACGGCTTTTTACACTTGCCACATAGGATATTGGATGAACGGAACTACAAGTGATACTATCACCTGTCAAGCCGATGGGACATGGGAAGATCGGTCTCGATGCATCATAATATCTTGTTCTGATCCACCCATTGATAAGAACGCCAATACAACCAAAAGAATAACACATTTGCACAATGACCCAATGAACTCTTATGCAAACCTAACCCAAGGTGAAACATTTCTGTATAATGACACTGTATTATACTCCTGTCGAGACGGGTATACAATTAGTGGTCGGAATTCCACATCAGAAACAATACACTGTGGACACGGAGGCAAATGGAGTGCGCATAGTCGGTGTGTTAAACCTACACCAAGTTGCTACTGTGGGCCTCTCTCTAAAGATCTAAATGCTGAACAAGTTGATCCAAGAACCAATTATGCATGCATGGATGAAGTGTTGTTCAGGTGTAAAGATGGTTTTCACATATATGAAAACGAGACGAGTAGAACATATGAGTCTGTCCTATGTTTACCGAACGCTACCTGGTCACAGAGAACGTATTGTAAAAGTAAGTTAACATTTCTTAGATAGTTTTCAATGAGCTATAAATAAATAATTGTATACGGTTTATTATTTAATTCTAGAAATTCTATATAAGCCTAAAGTAAATATCCGGCTGTGGAAACACATTATACTTATCAATTAAGAAGCACTCGAACAAAAATTAGAGGTATACTTGCCAATTAAGAATCACTCGAACAAAAATTACAGGTCCCAGTGTCTAACTACTCAATCCAAAATTATATGATATTTTTTTTAGGTATATCAGGTGATTCATGGGTTCGAGCCAAGAAGATAACGTTCCCTTCCGAAGAGGCGGCTGGAGCAGTTGTCATTGGCTCAGTGGGATTGATAATCTTATTAACTGTGCTTACCATTGTCGTATTATCAGACCTCCAAAGAATATGTTCACATGTGAAAAATATCATGATAAAAAATGTGCGAGCTTGGACACGTAAACCAAGCGCCCATTTTAAATATAAGCGTACAACTGAGACTTGAAAATTTCGAAAATTAAAGTGTTTCCGATTTGTTTAAAATTGATACATGGTAATGTACAATATCTTGGGAGGTAGAACTAAAATTCGTTAAACAATGATTGAAGTATGGCATCCCTTTATTTGAAAAAGTCAATATGTTATGTACGTTTCTAGATTGTATTTAGACTTAGGGTACTATTTCGTGATTAAGGATATAGCAAATCGGATAATATACCAACTTTTTTTTTATTTTTATATGGTTTTTTAATGACTCTACATATGAATCATTTTCTCAATGCCTTTTATATTTTTAAACCAAACGTTTGTTTTCATGTAACATAAAATGAAACTTTTCCTTTTTTTGAACTTTAAAAATCACTGGTACTCACCTAGTTACGCCGACGATACGTCAGCGTAACAAGATGGAAGAACTTCCGGCGTTCGTTTTCGGTAAGATATTTTTATTTCTCGATTCTACACCACTTATAAGTCAAGTTGTGGACAATAATTAAATTTGGCTCAAAGTTAAGGAAGATAGTCTAGTTGGAGAATATGCAGGCGGTTCTATGTTTGGTATATGAACGAAGACCCAATTTACATTTTTAGTCCCTCGCTTTTGTTACGTTGACGATATTCATTTATTACCACTGTCTGAGCTTTCAGTTGCAGAGGTTTGCTCCTTGTGTTTATTCATTCATGAATATTGCCAATGTGACAATATTCATAAAGATCGTCAACGTAACAAAAGCGAGGGACTGAATGTGTGCATTTCGTATTCGTTAATATACTAAACATAGAACCGCCTGCATATTCTCAAACTAAACTATCTTCCCTAACATTGAGCTAAAATATGGTATTTCTTGTTAGATAAAGATTCCTTTGTACTACAGACAAAGTCACGGTTAAGTCATATCTGTCCCCGAAATCAATACTGAATAATTGTCGTGCTGTTTAGAAGGTTTGAGAAGTTCTAGACCGTGTTCAGACGAAATGTCGAGACGTAGTGATACTAGAGGTATAAGCATGGTATGGTCAATGTTTCTACGAAAAAGAAAGGGCCATATTCTGCCAAAACGTCGAAATAAATTAGTACTTACAAATCTCCCGCCGAAAATAGTGGGTATAACATCAAAAACTTCCAGTGGTACGACGTATGAGAGAATGGGGTGTGTTATAGCGAAATAAAGTACAAACAGTTTGGGCATTTAAAAATATTTGCAAATACACATTCTTGAATATCAAAATTAATGTAGTCAAGGTAGACACCAATCCCAACTTCTTAAATAACAAATGAGTTTTATTTTTTGAACTACTGTTGATGATATTATGACCGGTGACTCAATTGCACGCTTATTCCCAGAATGAGCTTAAAAATGTTCCTATAGTTAGCCTATAGACTTGCATTATTGTAGAAGTTTTATTTTTATGTTCAACACAAGACTGAAGCAAATAAAACTTGATGTCTTGGATAAATCGTTATTACTTTTTTGCATACATGGAGTCGCGATAGGGGTCATTTTGACGAATAAAAACAACTTGTCTAATTTCAATAACACAGGCTGGTATCGTAAGATTTTATCCGCTATGACGGAGCATGCTGTTTTTCATAAAAACACTAAGAATACTTCACAATTTATTTTTTAACTCATATATTGCGTTATATCCGTTTTCAATAGCTTTTCCTTCTAACCTTATTGGATTTCAAACAGAAGTGAAAAGTTACCCGCAAATAATATATCCATTGCATGGAGTAAGTAATTTTCTTTGAGTTCTTTGAACTTATGAGTTAAAAAATAAATTGTGTGGTTTTCTTAGTGTCTTGATAAAAATAACATGCTCCATCACAGCGGACAGATCTTTCCATACTTGCCTGTGAATAATGTTCGTATTGTTGTATAATCTAATTGCACCCCTCTAAAATGTATTATTTCTTTCAAAGATAGGACAACAAAGGTAATTCTATGTCAAAGTGACCTAGGATTTGCAAATTAGAAAGTGATTCACAAATACATAATAACAACAGGATCGTACATTATATACAGTATTCTAATTTGAAACTATTGTTTGGTATGGATGGTAATTAGTATCCGGTCAACTTGGACACTAGTTACCTCGGACCCTAGTCAACTTGGACCCTTGTTTACTCAAACCCTAGTCAACTTGGGCCCTAGTTTACTCGAACTCTAGTCAACTTGGACCCTAGTATACTCGAACCTTAGTCAACTTGGCCCTGAGTTTACTCGAGCCCTAGTCAACTTGGACCCTACTTTACTCGGACCCTAGTCAACTAGGACCCTAGTTTACTCAGACCCTAGTCAACTTGGACCAAATAATATTCAAACTTGGACGCCATTATGTATAAATTGTTGGTCGACTAACAACGTTACATTGGTGCAGATTTCTAGCCAACGTGTTACTGTCCTCACTGTAGTACAAGAAAGATTTGAGCAAGACAAACATGGTTCGTTACAGTTGCAGTTTAATTCTAAAATCGTTTAACAATTAAATATATATTTCTCCTATTATATCGCCGATGATAGTGCAACATGGCCTCCTTTTGTTTCTGTATTGGCAAAATACATTTTTCAGAACATCTAAAACTTCCAAAAAATGTTATTGACAACTCCTCGTTTCCATTTGAATAACATCCCCTCCATAGCTTTGGTAAAGTGGACCATCACCTGGTATATAACCGTACTCTGGGAAAAACCCAGACCTCAATCTAAACATCACATTATGTTTACATTTGCTCCATTTGCCCCAGTGAACCCATTCTGTAATGTAAAATACAGGTAAACAGTATACTAATATGGCCATTTAACAATTTTTATTAACCTTTGGTCTCATTACTATGTCAAAGTTCACAGCCTTGTAATTTTTTTAAATAAAAAGCACTAAGTGGAATGAGGTGTTACCCATAACACTATTCGAAATCCACTCCATAAAGTAGGTGACAGATGTCTGTGTATACGTCTTTGCTTCTTTAACACATCCCGATGGATTCACAAAGCTATTTAGGCCAAGTACCACCATATCTTGTGGAGGGATGAAACACATCGTCGATGCATCTATTGAACACATCAATGGACTCCCACTGTACCCCTAATGAAGCAGATTATATGTTTTGGTGAAATAAAGGAATTCATCTAAAAAGGCTGATAAGCTATTTAACAATTGAGTGTTAAAAGGATATGGGGTTTGAATACTATCAGCGAGGCTTTTTCAAAGATGTCTATACCGGCAACATTTGAAGCATCGGAAAAGGGAATGAAGTGATAAAAAATAAGATTAAAGTCTTGAATACATAAGATATGAACGTGTAATCAGAACAACTTTATCCATTGAGTTCAGGTTTGCCTCAAAAGACTAGGCCAGTATTTTGAGCACGTCTTTTTAAATTGCTATAAAATTGTGATACTTTAAAATTGACAAATAAAATATGTAAAATAAAAGGACATTGAACAAGATGTAGTTGTGCGAAATATAATTTTACATCCATAGTTATAAACACTTGTTTTGTAACATTCTTATTGGCTCAGCCTGTATGAAGATTTCAACGAAGAGTTGTGGTAATCCATACAAAACAAAAAATGCCCATGTGAAGTATACTTTATTTTGATAAATATTGAAGTTATTTGATTTTAGTGAGTAAAATAGATGGTGCTGTTATTGTGGGATTATGGGATAGCGCAAATTTGCAAAAAAATGTTGAGCTGGTTCCCGGGAGCTGGTGTGACAAACTGAGATCTGTAGTGACTTATAGTTTAACAAATATACTTTTTCTGTAGTATTTATTATCGTTAAGTATACTTTAATGCTAATGTAGTAGCCGAGACATAACCGAGACAAATTCTATGTTAGAATTTCTCCAAGGAATGTGCATGCAAAATGTTGTGACTTAACTCTTAAAAGTGAAGAAATGAGAGCAAATATACAGACTTGGGACTTGTGTTGTCTCGGCTACTAAGTACTGTTATAAAACTATAAAAATGTCGTGTACCTCACAGACTGGTTTCTCCGTTGGTATGCTCCTAGATACGAATACAGCATCGTCGGTATTTATCGTCATGAACACCTCCACAGTGTGACCTTTCTTTTTGATCTCACCATTTGTTCCTGTAAACAAAAACACGTAAACTTTAAAACTGCCAGAGGAATGGGGAACTCCCCTCCCTTTGCCCCTTGCTCTTCCAATTGAGAACGACTTTAAATAAACATAATTTATTTTGAGTGATTCTATTGATTAATTCACGTGACAGTATTAAACTTGCAAACGTTTATTCCGGGAACTCTCCCCTTTTCTATCATTTTTCCTCAAACACACATAAAGCCAGTTAAATTTCTAAAATTATACTGGCTTAGACCCATATCTGCAGTTGATTTACGTGGCAAAAATTCAACAGCATATTAATTTTAGTAAAAACAGCACCCGCTTATTAAAGTATCTGGCGGGCCAGTAAGGAAAACTTGAAAAATAGTAATTCAATAATCCTTTCAACGACCTTTAATATTGGTTTATGAAGAATGCATTCGATTCTAAAAATGCTAAATTGTGAAGATGTGCAGAAATGTACAGTCAAGTAAAAAGTATAGCAGGAAAAAATTAAGAAATGCTCTTCCAAATAAATCTCATTTTGACAGCTCACTTAGCACTATCTTGAGAACTATATGTCAGAGTCATCTCGATGTTTTAAAGTGATTTGAAGTGCAAAATATTATCAAAAAAGCAGTTAGTATCACAACGGGAAACACTATTTTGTAAGCACTACTAAGAAAGAATACTTTATGTGTTATCCATAAGTAATAACCAAGACTAACTACTAATTCTCAGGAATAAAAAGTTCACTCTATTGAGAGATAGATAGAGCTTATCCTCGGACCAGTTACGTCTTATCCGTGTGTCATATGACTACTGTGTTAATTAACTAAGTAAAGTATTCCAATTAAAAAGTGTTGTATGTTTGCATGCAGCAAGCGTTTAATAATTCTTTGCATATATAATATTGTCCATAAAATAGTCTGATACATATAAATATTGTCCATAAAAGATCGGTCTGATAATTACAAGTAACTCATGTTTATTTTATTCTTTACGAATTTATGATAAGTGTATAATGTTCAATCATACAAATCGCAGTCAATTTTCAAAACTGCTCAACATGGTGAAAACTTCACGTTTTTAAAGAATGCTTGCCCGGCGAGTGGTTTGCTCTGGATTGCGAGAGAACAAAAACTTTGAATTAGGATTTTTCCTAATACTATCATTAATCTAAACAACTTTTTAAACCGTCTCTGATTACATATCATGCCAATTAATACCATTATTGTGTTGACAGGATTAAATATGACATCTTTGGAATTATAATTTAATGAACTCAATAGTCTAAATGATAATAAGTTCATAATTTAGTCTTGGCTGACTAGTCTTGCATCATCAGAGTTGGATTGCAAATACCTCCCTAAATCAAATATATAAAATTTACAAGTGTACACTAAAGTTTAAAAGGAAGACTATGGTGTCCCGTGAATAATTATCTTAGACAATAGTGAAGCGGTACAATCATGGGAGTGTTAATTAATCGGAATGCAAGTTTGTTTTAAAATAACTCCTTTGGATCAAATATTTAAATTCTACTAGAATGAGGGGAGTGGAAACAAGTCTCCATTCAAGCACTAAATATAAAAAGAAAGATTTCAGTACCCCTTAACTTCACTATTTTAAGGAATGAGAGGCAGAAATAATTCCTAGAAATAAGATGGCCTGTCTTTACTGTAATCAATATGCTACCTAACCACCGTTATTTTGGTTTTATAACGGGGATATTGCTCGAGCTTGAATAACAAATAAAAGGCATGTTCTTATTCCTGTATTCTGTCCTTTGATTGTGTATTAAGTTGAGCTGCACGCCAAACGTTAAGATTGTTAAAACGCTTATAATAAAACTTTATTCCTATCAATTTACATAAAAATGAAACAGATAAGATTCGAATCTCAGTCACACCAGCCACTGGTCAAATATCAAGTACAAATATCTATATTAATCAAATGTCTGAGAATTTGATAACTGTCTGGGATCCAATGTTAATTTTATTTAATCAAACTAAGAAAAGTATAACGATGGATTTTAAACGTTTAGAGGGAAAAGTCAAATATGCATTGTAACCCTAAAAATAATTCATTAAAGTGTCGTACACATTTCATAACATTTATATAAATAAAACAAATAAAGCACAACCCTAATGCCCTAATGAATTCATATCGGCGCTAAACGGCCCTTGCAATAAAAACGCATCGAAGCAGGGAATGCTTGGAAAATTCTTCCGAGACTGACTTTTGTTATTTCAAAATTGAAATATGCCTAATTCCTATTAATATCAAAAAATAACCACGCGATCTTTTTCCCTGGGTTTTACTCTATTTTAGATTTACTAGAAAAATGTTTATATGATGATTGCGTTTGCTTCTCACGAGTTCATTGAAAAGTTCAGTCGTAAAACTTTAGAGATCAAAAGACTTATTAGGCACCTGATTGCGAAAGTTTGATTGCATTTCGATCGCCGGGATTTTACAAACGTATTGTTTAAGTAGCGATCGTGTTCTTGGGATCTTGATAACTTCCTATTTTAAGTTTTGGGTTGAAAGCAATGAGTATGTCGGACTTTCTCAAGTCCACATAATGAAACAATATCCCTTTATATTAGTCCAATCGGAATTTGCATAAACATACCAGTTTTTTATTGCAAAAAGAACTGTAATTAAAAGCCTACATAAAAGCATCATGATAAATAAAACATTAAAGCATATATAAAGCCTATTGTTATCAAAATCCATAAATCCTCACCATATAAATATAGTTTTATTGATGACCAAAAACAGATATCAAGGGCGTAGCCAGCTTTCAGTCAGGGGGGGGGAGGGGTGCGATCGCCAAAAAGATTTCGGTTTTCAGTCAGGAGGGTATGATTGTGGCATTTTAATGCTCCTTTCTTTTTCTTTCTCAGCGTTTTATTTTTATTGTTATGGGGGAGGTTGTCATCGCACCCCCCCCCCTCCTGGCTACGCCTATGGATATTTTGGTAACTTTCACGTTTACCCCGCCCCCTAATAATTTTTACACCCCCTCTAAATATCAGACCCGTCAGGCGTCGAGGCATGGATCAGGATACCCTGACTCCCAAGCTGTGCGACTTCTGGCAACCGCTACACCTATATTCCCGGGGAAAACGCTTTTAGAAAAATTGTCAAATATGGTCGTGTGTGGGCAAACACGGAGGAGGAGGAGAGCCTGGAGAGGGGTGCGTGCATTGCGTGCGACCCTTCATCAGTTGTGTACCTTATTTTTGTATGAATTTCTTCCGAATAGTTATGCTAGAGGGGTTCTGATATTTATTTCTGTTTTCAAATGAAATAATTTCACCCTTGCCCGACTGACTTGTAGATGATGCACGAATCAAATAGCATGGAGATCAGATTATCAGATTGATTCGTATTTTCGCAATCAGATGAATTAACTTATTGTTTTCTCTGATTAAAAGGCGGTTTGAAGCTACTTTTACAGGATTTGTAAATTCGCAATCAGACTGGCTTATTTTAATATTTAGTCAGTGCAAGAGGAGGGGACTATTACTGTAGAAAATTGTTTTGATTTCGACACTAATTGAATAATTTATCACAATTGTTAAATACGCAAACAGAAACAGGTTTAAAAATGAGAATAGAGGCAAAAAAGTATATTCATAAAATGTAATTAAAACCCGGGAATTAAAAGCAATTTTAGACTGTTAGATGATCTCTTCTGTAATCAAGGTGATGTTGGTACACTTCCACTGTTAGAAAAACAAAGACTAAGACAAAGGCTATATAGCAATTAATCCTTTTGTAATCATTAAATGTTAGATTCTTATTATTTTGTTGGACAATGTTCAGACTTCTGACCAAGATTAAATCATTTATGTTTGTATTTAAAAAATAGTATTTCAATCAGACAGACGTGCTAATGAGTTCGAAAAATACTTTTGTCCATTTCCTCTCAAGAAGTTTTCAAATGTAATCAAGTCGATTTGTTTGAGTGTTTAGCATTGTTTTTCATAACTTGACGCTTCCATGAACAGAATGACTTTGAAATGAGTTTTTATAATTTTAGCTTTTATACGGACATGCTTATTGTATATTTCTATATGAACGTTGTAGTTATGTGATGTAACATCGCCCCCCCCCCCAAATTACAGGTATACAAATTTTGATCGGAATGCATTAATTGCAATTAAAAACAAATTTTAGACTGTTAGATGATCTCTTATGTAATCTAGGTGATGTTGGTACACTTCCGCATTTAAGAAAACAAAGACTAAGACAAAGAGAACTAAGCAATTAATCCTTTTGTTATCATTAAATGTTAGATTCTTATTTTTTGATTGGACAATATTAAGACTTCTGTCTCCGATTGTTATGCAGGTATGTGTATAAAATCATGTGAACAACATTATCGTGGAAACTCCCATCTTCATTCTCATAATGTCTTACAGCTATTTCGCAAATGACATAATCCTAAACAACATATGGACATAATATTGCAGAACTGAGCGAAAAGAAAGGTGGAACAAATCAGATTAAGATATTTTATTTTTGAAATGCACAAAGGGCAACAGTTGAAGAACAAAAGTTAAAGGCGTTTTGAAATAGATCGTGCTTTTATATGATCCCCTTCTATAATACCCTACCCTTTGCATTTGTTCTTAAATGAGAGTTTCGTCTTCTCGTAGTTTATAATTAGACTCTGCACGCAGCGTAAAAGTGCCCCTATTATCCATGTTCAGGGGCGTAGACAACTTTCAGTCGGGGGGGGGTGCGATCGCCAAAAAACAATAACGGTTTTCAGTCGGGGGAGGGGGTTGCGATCGTGGCAAAGGCAAGCCAAAAGATGCAACTTCCTTCAAAATTGAGCTTGAAGCTTCTATCTCTTCTTCTATTTCTTGGTTCTATTTTATTGGTTATGCACTGCAACCCCCCCCCCCCTGGCTACGCCTATGCCTGTCGAGAGACAAAAGGGGCGAAAAGACTGTTAAAACAAGTACTTCCAATAAATCTGTTTACAGTTATATGTGTTTATTAACGACCCTACTTGTCAAATTAATAGAAACTGAAACTAAATTCTTTCATTACGCGAAAACCGTTGAAATATCTACCTGATTCGCTGGAATAGTCATTAGTCACATTATTTCAGAGCAAACAATTAGCATCTACTATAATATTTATTTTTCTATCCGATATACAACTGATATTGATATCTTTCCCCGGACAATGTGTTATCTCATGATCCGTTGACATCATCAACAATTTGATTTACCACAAGAGAGTAACCAACATTCCTTAATTAAAAAGTTGACATTTCTTGAATTTTATAGCAAAAACACTATGACACAATAACATCGAGGCAAAATCAAAACTTGGTGTGGAAATAAAAGGCATACAAAATGACCATTAAAATGAAATTCTTGTTCATAAAAGTATCAATTTTATTACATTGGACGCAAATACAAAGTATAGAATAAATAAAAATAACGTCTTCCCAGAGATTACAATACAGATCAGTAAGTCAACAAATCTAACTGTTAAATAAACAAACTTAGCCCATGTCTGCAATTGTTCGTCTGCTGGTCAGAACTCGATATCCTCTTCGGATAATCAATTTCTGTGACTACTGATGTCTTAAATAATTCATAAAGACGACGTTGTCTTTAAATAAGGATCTTTAATCTACAAACTGTATATAAATAGCGTAACATTGATACCTTGCTGTCCTCTGTTAAATCACGTAACCCATTTCCCTTAATTTTTTTACTAAGAGACTTATACATGCATAGTTAAGTTATCTATCAAATTATTTTTCTTTAAATATTAAATGTCGTCTAAGTTTGTTTTAATGATTAGTCTTCATCTAGATTCATTAATCATCACGATATTAATATATACATATTATGTAATAGACCTATCATGTCACGTCCGTAGTTACAAAGTCAACTACATATTAATGCAATCGAATAAGACTCAATAATTAAAAAAATAAACCTCAGTATTCGGGCCTAAAAAACACAGATAAGTGTATCAAAACCAACGGGTAAGCTCAAATAACCTTCCAAATAAGTGTATCAATAATCAAGGATTGCGAGTACTAAGGACCGGGTAAGATGGTTGTAACATTGGTATTGCTAGTTATTAAACACGATTTTGTCTTGTGTATTTTTTTAACCACCAAAATGTACAGGTAGTGATAGATCTCATAAAATTGATTTAAAACAACGAGTATCTAAATAAAACATAAGTACAAATAAGATTGAAAATACAATGCCATTCAATAACCGAATTAAGTTTACTCAAAAAGTTGCCTTAACTTGTACTTGTACTCATACCTATTCCCCATCCTGTCGTAAAGCAACCAACCATCAATGCCCAGTCTTTAAAATTCTCCGTACATTCACCCTCATCAGTTGCTTCAATGCAACCCCTCGCAGGTAATAGACAGGGTTGTATGTACGGGTTGTCCATGAACTCGAGGCTAGTTTTTAGTTTAATAAGCGCGATGTCGTTGTTGAACTCTCCGATCCCCTCGGAGTAGTTCGTATGCACAGTAATGTGCTCCACGTCTTTGTTTTGTTCGGTTACACTGGTAGCTACAAGATTCCATTCGCCTGCCGTTATCCTCCAATTGGTCATATCACATCTGAAGATTTATTTGTGTTTTTCATTTTTCTTTCACGTGTGTGATAGCAATTGTGGTAAAAAGACAGCAAAAAGAGAGCAAACGCATTGATTTGATTTAGAGCAATGTAATTTATTCATGATGATATCAAATAAAATGACACATCAAAAATGTTGCAGGATAAACCGGCATCATACACAATGGGGCTACTTGGTGAGTCAGCATTCATATTGAAAAATGAACAGTGTACCTACGTTACTTTCTTTTCAGTTTTATCCCAGCAACCAAGGCTATCATCGGTAATACAGTGAGCTGCTGTAATAACAAACTTGTTACTCAGGATCACACCGCCGCATTTGTGCTCGAAACTTCCAGTTTTCTTGAACTTTAGCGAAACAACCCACGAAAGCTTTTTTCTCTCGTCGACCTTGAAACGAGATCCACCAGCTTTTATGATAGCATCTTCGAATGTATGTCTACTTCTCTTGACATATTTCCTCTGATTATGGATTCGTAAATTGTACATGTCATCATATACGTCTCTTTTTCTTATGTTTTGGAGTGCTATAATTTGTGAGACACTGTAATTAGCATCATAATTTGAAAATAAATAGAATCGTTTGTGTAGGTGTTCGGGTGCGTGGGGACTTGGTCCAATCAAGCATAGTCATAATTACGACATTGCCTCACTTGTTTGAGTGCATTAATGACGTTGGTTTAATTATATAATAATATAAACTTAATGTTAACGTAGACATTTTTCAAAGAGCAAAGTTACCGCGATGAGTTTACTAAACTGCATGTTTCGTATCAGTTCAAGGTTCGAATAGGTCGTTTCGGACATATCATATCAATGTAACAGAATCAAATGGAAAACCGACGATTTCAAACGCAGTTTAAAACCATTTAAAGACGTTACGTCTTTGTAACAAAATAGATTAACTTCCGTTGGAAGAAATTTTAAAGGAAAAGTCTCGATTTGGAGAACAGTCTCCTGGGCTAATAATTATTTTCATGAAAAATATATAAAATATCATCCAAATCAAATTATTAATATTCAAAGGAGAACATTTAAATCTACGAGATGTTAAAATATCACAATTATCCGAAGCAGGGATAATAGTGCAGAAGACCGATTCAATAAAATACAAGTTTCAATCTGGAGGAAGAAGTTCATCAGTGTACTGCGCTAAGGATGTTTTTCATGAAAAATCTAGATATTTCATCCAAATCAAATTATAACTATTCAAAAGAAGACATTCAAATCTATATTATGTAAAAAATCCAATTTGTCTGAAGCAGGGATAACACTCAATTAGATTGATGAACTTCGTTCCTCAAACCGAAAATAGCCCTTTCACCAAAACAGGTCTATTTGTATCCAAATATATTACCTGGCTGTATGTTAATAGCTAGTTGCAACCAGTTACTGAATATCTAGGCAGTCAAGAGCACATATATCCATCAGCTCCAATAATCGAGTGAGAATTCTTCACTTCGGCAACCAGGACGTTATCTAAAGAATTTCATAAATTCTTGGTTGCTTCATGTTGTTGCATATTAACGTCCTGAACGTCCTAACGTTGCTGAAGTGAGGAATTGGATCCATTGGATGTATATACTCGTGTCTGATTCGATATTCAGTAACCGGATACTACTGCTAAAATAAGGGTAAAATATTTGGATACAAATCGACCCCCTCCTTGGTGAAAATATGAAAAATAAAAATGTTCTCTAACGAAAGTTCAATTATCCATTTTGTTATAAAGACGCGACGTCTTTATTACCGGGTGGGGAACAGTGTTATAACTCAACAGTGTTGTCATTTGAATTTGACTACAATTAACATTTAACACCTATGAAATACTGTGTAAAGAAGTGTTACCAATCCCATTTATGAAAAATTGGTTTTGTATAGATGTAACTCATATGCCATACCTTCACAGCACTGTTTTGTTTCGATTTGCTTGTCACATAACTCTTCGCAATGTGAGGGATCGAGCACGTTAGTACCTTTACCTGCCACGTCCGCTAGGCAAAGTCTCGCTCGATGTACAACGTTGCAGCGACTATCGTCACATCCACTCCAGTATCCCCAGTCCCCCCATCGTACAGTTGCACGATCGTTGACACCTTTTTCTACATAGAAATGTAATGTGTCGGTTGTTATAGGAATTTGAGACAAGCAATGAACAACTATGAAATGAAAATTGCTTCATTTCTTGTAGAAAGTGTTTTATATGCAATGGCAGCGTAGTCCGAATAAATAAGTGAGGTGCATTGACAATATATTCCGAATAACTCAACGTGATGCATTGACAATGCTTTACCCCCCTATCACACCAAACTCGTTCTTACCCGTTCTTGCCAGTCCTACGAAAACGTCGTAAAACGGGCTCAAACTGGCTGTGGTCGGGAAATATGTCTGAAAGAATTAGCTTCTTCGTTCTTAAACAGTCTTCAATACGTCCATCTCGTTCGCAGTTCGTTCAGGTCGCACCACGTCGGTGTGCAACGCCGTAGAACGCGTCCCTTAGTCTAGAAGGTCATCATGACCTGATAACAGAACGGTATGGTCGCAATCGAATTTTGAATCGATTCAAAATTCTAAAATCACATTCCCGTCTGAGAACGTTCATAAAGTTTGTAAATAGACCTTAGAAAGTTGCAGCTACGTTCATTCCGTTCGCACACAGTTTAGAACCAGTTTTGAAGAACGCAGTGGCAACTTGTTTGGTGTGATAGCTATATTTTTGCTAACTCGTTCATAAGCAGTCTTAAATACGTTCTTAATCAGTTTAAACCCGTTTGCAATGAGTTCTACCTCGTTCTCAACACGTCCTCAGACAGTTCCACTCGTTGTTAAAACGTCCCTAGTAGGATTGAAGTACGACGGTTCCGTTCGTAGTACGTCCAGCTCGTCATTAGTACGTTGTCACTCGTTCTAATTGTAGAACGTGACGACCACGAAAACATTTTGAGCATTGTCTAAGTTCTAGAGGACCTACCCGTTCGAGTACGTTTGATGAAGTTTGTAAATAGATCCCAAACGGTTCTTAGTACGTCCAGTCCGTTCGTACACAGTTGAAGCCCGTTTTCGAGAACGTAGTGAGAACTAGTTTGGTGTGATAGTAGGGTTACGAAGGCAGTGTGCTACATAGACAATCTATTCCGAATAAGTCAGCGTGATTCATCGACAATGTATTCAGAATAAGTTAGCACGATTTTGACAATATTGCCCGAATAAGTCAGAGTGATTCATTGCGATGAATTCCAAATAAATCGGCGTGATGCATATCATGTAATGTTTGAAGAATGGACCGTCCTCAGTGCGGTTTCATTATGGTTTTTGAAGAGTTGTTGGTGCAGTATGTATGACAATGTATTCCAGATGAGTCAGCGTGATGCATTGACAATGTATTTCGGATAAATCAGCGTGATGCATTGACAATGTATTTCGAATAAATCAGCGAGATTGTATTAAGAATAAGTCAGCACGATGCACTGACAATAAAGTCAAAATACGTCAGCGTGATTCATTGACAATGTTTTCCGAATAAGTCAGTGTGATTCATTGACAATGTATTCTGAATAAGTCAGCGTGATGCATTGACAATGTATTCTCAATGAGTCAGCGTGATGCATTGACCATGTATTCTGAATAGGTCAGTGTGATGCATTGACAATGTATTCTGAATGAGTCAGCGTGATGCATTGACAATGTATTCTGAATAAGTCAGCGTGATGCACTGACCATGTATTCTGAATAAGTCAACATGATGCATTGACAATGTATTATGAATAAGTCAACATGATGCATTGACCAAGTATTCTGAATAAGTCAGCGTGATTCATTGACAATGTATTCAGAATAAGTTAGCACGATTTTGACAATATTGCCCGAATAAGTCAGAGTGATTCATTGCGATGTATTCCAAATAAGTCGGCGTGATGCATATCATGTAATGTTTGAAGAATGGACCGTCCTCAGTGCGGTTTCATCAAGGTTTTTGAAGAGTCGTTGGTGCAGTATGTATGACAATGTATTCCAGATGAGTCAGCGTGATGCATTGACAATGTATTTCGGATAAATCAGCGTGATGCATTGACAATGTATTTCGAATAAATCAGCGAGATTGTATTAAGAATAAGTCAGCACGATGCACTGACAATAAAGTCAAAATACGTCAGCGTGATTCATTGACAATGTTTTCCGAATAAGTCAGTGTGATGCATTGACAATGTATTCTCAATGAGTCAGCGTGATGCATTGACCATGTATTCTGAATAGGTCAGTGTGATGCATTGACAATGTATTCTGAATGAGTCAGCGTGATGCATTGACAATGTATTCTGAATAAGTCAGCGTGATGCACTGACCATGTGTTCTGAATGAGTCAGCGTGGTGCATTGACAATGTATTCTGAATAAGTCAACATGATGCATTGACAATGTATTCCGAATAAGTCAGCATGATTCATTGACAATGTATTCTGAATAAGTCAGCGTGATGCATTGACAATGTATTCTGAATAAGTCAGCGTGATGCATTGACCAAGTATTCTGAATAAGTCAACATGATGCATTGACCAAGTATTCTGAATAAGTCAGCGTGATTCATTGACAATGTATTCAGAATAAGTTAGCACGATTTTGACAATATTGCCCGAATAAGTCAGAGTGATTCATTGCGATGTATTCCAAATAAGTCGGCGTGATGCATATCATGTAATGTTTGAAGAATGGACCGTCCTCAGTGCGGTTTCATTAAGGTTTTTGAAGAGTTGTTGGTGCAGTATGTATGACAATGTATTCCAGATGAGTCAGCGTGATGCATTGACAATGTATTTCGGATAAATCAGCGTGATGCATTGACAATGTATTTCGAATAAATCAGCGAGATTGTATTAGGAATAAGTCAGCACGATGCACTGACAATAAAGTCAAAATACGTCAGCGTGATTCATTGACAATGTTTTCCGAATAAGTCAGTGTGATGCATTGACAATGTATTCTCAATGAGTCAGCGTGATGCATTGACCATGTATTCTGAATAGGTCAGTGTGATGCATTGACAATGTATTCTGAATGAGTCAGCGTGATGCATTGACAATATATTCTGAATAAGTCAGCGTGATGCACTGACCATGTGTTCTGAATGAGTCAGCGTGGTGCATTGACAATGTATTCTGAATAAGTCAACATGATGCATTGACAATGTATTCCGAATAAGTCAGCATGATGCATTGACCAAGTATTCTGAATAAGTCGGCGTGATGCATTGACCAAGTATTCTGAATAAGTCGGCGTGATGCACTAACCATGTGTTCCGAATAAGTCAGCGTAATGAACTGACCATGTGTTCTGAATGAGTCAGCGTTGTGCATTGACCATGTATTCCGAATAAGTCAGCGTTGTGCACTGACCATGTGTTCCGAATAAGTCAGCGTTATGCACTGACCATGTGTTCTGAATGAGTCAGCGTCGTGCATTGACCATGTGAACTGAATGAGTCAGAACGATGCATTGACAATAAAGTCAAAATACGTCAGCGTGATTCATTGACAATGTATTCTGAATAAGTCAGCGTGATGCATTGACCAAGTATTCTGAATAAGTCAGCGTGATGCATTGACCATGTATTCCGAATAAGTCAGCGTGATGCACTGACCATGTGTTCCGAATAAGTCAGCGTTATGCACTGACCATGTGTTCTGAATGAGTAAGCGTCGTGCATTGACAATGTATTCCGAATAAGTCAGCGTTATGCACTGACCATGTGTTCTGAATGAGTCAGCGTCGTGCATTGACCATGTGAACTGAATGAGTCAGAACGATGCATTGACAATAAAGTCAAAATACGTCAGCGTGATTCATTGACAATGTATTCTGAATAAGTCAGCGTGATGCATTGACAATGTATTCTGAATAAGTCAGCGTGATGCATTGACAATGTATTCTGAATAAGTCAGCGTGATGCATTGACCAAGTATTCTGAATAAGTCAGCGTGATGCATTGACCAAGTATTCTGAATAAGTCAGCGTGATGCATTGACAATGTACTCCGAATAAGTCAGCGTAATGCATTGACAATAAAGTCAGGATAAGTCAGCGTGATGCAATGACAATGTATTCGGAACAAGTCGGCGTGATGCATATTATAAAATGTGTGAAGATTGGACTGTCATAAGTGAGGTTTCATTAATGTTTTTGAGAGTTGTTTGTGCATAAGTCAGCGTGATGCATTGATAATGTATTCCGGATATATCAGCGTGATGCATAATAATGTATCCTGGATAAATCAGCGTAATGCATTGATATAGTATCCCGAGTAAGTCAGCGCGATACAATGATAATGTAGTCTTAAGACAATGAATACTAGGGTTAAATGTCCTAGATCCCTAGAAACACAGGTCTTATGTAGGCCTATGATTTTTCATCTCCTTTTAGAAATCCAAAAAAATAATACAAAAATCCGTTTTGAATATTTTCCAATGTAGAGTTATCCAATAACCTATTAGGTATGGACTACATCTGTTATGTTCGATCGATTTTGGATCCAGGGTTAATCAATCAGGAAATATGTACTTCCCTCGGTCAATGCGGTTCCTAAATACTCTTTCCCTCGTGATAAAACCTGTGTCCAAAACCTCTCCCAATACATAGCCCCTATGTATCACCTGGTAATGAGGATGTGGGTCCTTCATCTCTAGCCGTAGTTTCAGTCTGTTTCGGACGATGGACGTGTTGTTCGAACTGCTGCAAATAGTTACCAGGTGGAGAGTATCGACAACAAACTGTATAAGAGTAGAAGTTCCCGTGTAATCCATTAGCCAGGCCACATCCAAGAAGTACAGAGTTAACCCAAACTAGCTGCAGTCAAAACATAATATAAATATAAGTTAATACCTTCGCTTGATCCTTCGCTAGCAATTGAACCTCGATGCTCATGTGATTTCACAAAAACATTGGTAAAGTACTTATTTGTTAGTCTTACTTGTGTGAACTGGCCAGTGTCTTTCTTATAGCCAGGCTGATCGAAATCATAATTCTTGATACCAGCATACCTGTTAAATATATCATCTTGGTAAGAACCCCTTTTAAAGGACGACGCCGCGTCGGGCGCCGCATAGGACTCAACTGTATTACATCAGTACAGATCTACGTAAAGCATATTAGTTAGACGTGTTGCAAAGAGGTCGCGCACGCATTGTTACACATTTTCGCTTTTTAACACCAAAGAATGTGACGTTTTTTGAGAAAAAATTACACATATGGAAATCCTTTCGTCCTCCACATTTGCCTCTTTATCTTAAAATATTTAAGGCGAATAACTCTGATATCGTATATGTATTAACAATGAGATAGGAGCATCATAAAACACGAATCAATTGATATTTTAGGTGAAATAAATATACGTGTTGCTGTGCTTGAAAATAGGCGAATGGCGTAAATGAATTTTGAAAACCTTTCGTCCTCCACGTTTCCACATACAACAGAAAACACATACTTTTCCGAACAAAATCAACTATTTATTAATAAACTAGAGTTTAGGAGCAAAATAATCATGTATGATTTATTAAAAATTGATCTCGTATTTTTTGTTTAATGTACACCTGAAAAGTTGAAGGTAACAAAAAATGAGCAAAAAAGGTCGCTGTCAACAGATTCTATTTTTCAAACTCTATGACGTCACAAAATGGGACGCTTACTAACATTCATCCTTTGAAATAAAACTCCCATCTACCTTTATCAAGACGAAAAATAAGTATAATAGTCATATATTGTTTGAGTTATGAGCGTTTAAAGACGAAAAATAATTCAAATTGTAACGTGTCAACAGGGAATATTTGCCAGATGTTTTGGTAAAAAACTCTTTTTTAAAAAAGAACGCGCAGGAATCGTGAACGTAGTGTAGTTTATGTAAAAACTTCATCGAAACGGCTTTAAAATGATATATAACTTTAATTAGAATATTATCTTATAATCCGGGGAATCAACGTTACATTCACGCGATACCCTTAAAAAACAAATGCGCCACCTTTTTGCGACACGTCTAAGCAAGTCTTAAATACGAAAAGCCACGGTAAAATTATTTTATAAATTTTGAATATTACAATAGACCATGTCTCAGATGTTTGTCACCAAAAGTACTTATTAAAAGGTATACAGACCATGCTTGCGATGCTGTGTATGCCATATTGTCCGTAGCTTGTTTTGCTAACGATACGGTCGACCGAAATCGCCAAAGATTCTCGCCAGCAAGAGGATTCTGGCGAGATGATACCGGAGACGATACAAAGCTAAAACATTCAAAAGAGCCAAGTGAGTTATTGCAAATGATTTTAGACGATTATATATCTTGTATTATGAATATTTGTCTGATCGTGAAGACCGGTGTATCATTTATGTTCATATATTTGTCTCCAAAAAAGATAATGAATAGAAATGCAAAAAAAACATTTAAAAATATTGCGTTTTGGTGAAAATGAGGTCAACGTTATTAAAATTATAGGGATTAGATTACTCTGAGATCCGGAATATAACAAAGGCGTAGCATTAAAAAAAATTTACGAATTGGATTAAATGTCACCGTATATTAAAAAGAGTAGGGGCCAGTTTTATAAAGAGCCAATTGTGTATGGTCAAACTTACATGTTCCTACGTTCAAGTGTTCCACAATACTTCTGAGCCTGTTTTGCCAATCCTCTATGCCATCTCATAGGAGGCGTGTTCATATGAAGATTTCTAAGTTCATTGTGCCTTTTCAGTATATTCTTCTCAAATACGGTTCTTTGAGCATATTGCAGTTGAAATTGTAGTAGAAATACGACAAAAACGCAATATGATGCTAGCATCCCCATCGTGATACGATGATTAAAAAAGGTGTAAAATCATTGCTATTGTTACATATTTTTTACTTGGTGTTAAACTGCATGTATTTTTTTACGCAAGCCTGGAGTTTACTGGGGGAATAAATAAAGGCCAATTAACTGAATTAATGTTGCATCGTACACTACTCATTTGAGAGATAACAAGATGTATATATCTCTGGACCATGTCCATGTATTACCCATAAAGGTGAAAACGAAATATCAGGTAGAAGGTTCAAATTAAAATACGAGCCTCAATATATACATAAACAAAAAATCAAAATATTGAAAAAAGTGTGATAAGACCGGTTTTAAGAAAAAGGATAAAAAAGTTGTTATATCAGATATTGGTCTCTTAAATATCCTAATGTCGAAATACGTCTATTACAATCCGTATGCAATTGACCACAAATATAGGTAGGGCCTCCTAATAATTATCTAAATAAATATATTAATGTTATTTATTATCATATGCCTAACAATGTGAATCAACATACTTGCTATTTTTAATGATAGCAACAATACCATAACGACTGTATAAACAAATAATACGCCTGATAATACGCCTGATTCCTATGATGCCATTGTCGATTATTAGAAATAACGTTCATATGCAAGTAAATGCTCTGTTTTTGAATAATTACGACCGTTGTATGTATTTTAAGTAAAATAGGGCGTAATACGACATAGTTTGAAGGTGTATGTATATAATGTAATAATGTAATAGTTTTGATAAAGCAAATGTCCTCATGAAATATTTTGTCAATAAGAACATTGTGAACATCAATGACAACTATATTCCTTATTTTAGACCAATAACTCAAAGTATCTTGCCTGACATGTCAACCTCATCTGAAGAAGTTCTAAATCTAGTTATTGATATCGATATTACAAAAGCACATGGTCCTGATGAAATATCAAACAAAATGCTCAAATTATGTGCACATTCTATCGCCGAACCACTTTCCTTACTTTTTAATAGAATATTTCAAGAAAACACTTTTCCTGATATTTGGAAGGAAGGTACAATTGTCCCAATTTTCAAAAAAGGAGATAGAGGACTAGTTTCTAATTACAGACCAGTGACCCTGCTTAGCTCAATCTCCAAAATCCTAAAATCAATAATCCACAAAAGACTTTTGACTCACCTTCTGCAGCAAAATCCTATTTTATTGGCTTCAAAGTGGTTTTCTACCTAAACATAATACTGTCAACCAACTTATTAACATAGTGCATGATATTCATGAAAACATTGATGATAACAAAAATGTCAGATCAGTATTTTTAGATTTAACTTCTGCATTTGATTTAGTCCCACACAAATGATTAATATCCAAACTTAAGGGTTATGGATGTAACCTGAACTTTGTCAAATTAATGACGTCATACTTAGAAAATAGGAGAGTTCGAGTCAAAGTAAACGGTACACTTTCAAAATGGTCTTCCAATAGTATGAATAATCAAAATGAGCCTAATATGCAGACCGATAATTTTGTCATCAATGCTGGTGTACCACAGGGGTCTGTCCTTGGACCCCTGCTATTTCTAATATATATCAACGATCTGCCTGATGAGCTTGTTTCAAAATCGTTCATTTTTGCTGATGACACCTCAATTTATTGTCCATACGAAAAAAATGAAGTGTTTTTCAATATTCACGAGCCAATCCAAAGTGATCTAGACAAGCTTGCTCTCTGGGCTGCCACCTGGAAGATGCAATTCAAAGCTCAAAAAAGTGCAGATATGATTTTTTTCTAGAAGGAACATTTTATCTCATCCACCACCTTTGAGATTAGGTGCTGATTTTATCCCTAGCTGTGAGAATCACAAACATCTTGGCCTTAATTTTGACATTCACTTTAACTTTAATTATCACATTGACCAGATAATAAAAAGAGTTACTTCTCTTTTGAGACCGATGATAAAGCTGATTAAAATTCTAAATAGTCAGCACTTAAAGATATTATATAATACTTACATTATGCCTCATTTTGACTATTGTGATGTCATTTACAACAAGGCATCTAACATGAAATTACAAGCTCTTGAAAGACTTCACTACAGAGCAGCCTGCCTGGTTTCTGGGGCTATACATGGTTCCAATACTATCAAAGTTTTAAACTCTTTAAACTGGAAACAGCTAACAACCAGAAGAATTGAGCACTTAAACATGTTTACTTTTAAATGCAGGTATAACATTAATCCTCCATTTATTTGTGACTTACTTCGGAAATATGAACATATACCGGTCCGCCCCTTAAGACATCAAAGAGATTATGTTCTCCCAACTCGCCTTAGCTTCTCTTTTAAAAAACTACCATCTTCCAATCTATAACTTTATGGAATAATTTGCCATCAGATACTAGAATGGGTCAACCTATTTCTAGGTTTAAAAGATTAGTAAGAGAACACAAGAGCCCAGTCTCTTTAATTCCAACTTCTAAATTGAATGTGACCTTACCCAGACATATTGAAATACCTTTTAATAGACTCAGGTGTGGCCTTTTACTTTAAGCACACCTTTATGCACATAACTTTAATGACATTAGTGACCCTTTGTGTAAATGTGGTGTTCAATTGACTACCTTGCATTTTCTTTTAAATTGCCCACTGCTCCATGATGAAAGAATCAACCTCATTGCAGGCCTTCATACTTACAATTTAGGAAACCTGTTTAACAGCTACAATTTGAATGATAAATTACAATTTTTACTTTTTGGAAAAGATGATTTAGATGCATCAACAAATGAAGAATTAATTCATATTGTTAGTTATTATATATACACGAGTTTCACTATCATATCACGTCTGTGACAACAGGTTCCGTTTCTTCATTTGTCTGCTCTTTCCTTTTTGTCATCATCCCCGCCCATGGGATTTCCTTGATTCAGTGATTTGGAATTAAGAATATATGTAAACCTTTTGTATTTTATATTATATCTATTATTTCATTTATGTTATATTATTTAATTGCCACTAATGTTGCAAAACTTTGGCAATCAGCTAACTTTGTACATCTATGTTATTATTTGAAATAAATCGATAACATGAAAAAAAATGTAATAATCCACATAATCACGGAAAGGATCTTCTTATTATTATGACTCAATCAGGTACATGTATCTAAACGGTACTCTCCGGTAAAATCCTAACGACCCGGTAAAATCGCTTTCTCTGGAAAAAATCACACACAGGTAGGTCATAAAACTGCATCTAAATCACAATTTACAATAATTATCCTATCTGTTTATGGTATATTTAGTTGAATCACACATTTGCCGACCCTATTCACCCATGGCTGACGTCACCTTATCTCAAGTTTCTTCATAAATTGGCACACAGTGATCAATTTGTGTGCAGTCTCACAAACAATCAGACGTATATGTAAGTATCCTAAAGAACACAGATGATGTGAAACACATTTCGCTAGGTGATTATACTATCAAGAATAACGTAGATCATTGGACTTTCAAGATTGAGCCTTTATTTTGAAATTATTTGCAAAAGTCTCACGATTTTTACCCGATCGTGCGGATTTTACAGAAGAGTACTGTTCCCTTCCTTAAATGATAATTCAACATGCATTCGACTAGTCTCAAAACATTTAAAACAAAAAAGATAAATAACGTGGTAGTTTTGACTAAGCTCGCATGTTTAGGATATGCCACTCATTTGGTTATATGACATAAAACCACCCTTTAGTTTCAAACACTATATTGACTTTGAACAAGGGAATCCTTGACTGGGTTTCATAATCTTGCAAAATACAACAACGGTTGCGGTGTTTGAGACTCGTTCTGAGTGAACCAACAGCCCTTATTTTGTGTGAAACGAGGCTTATCCATCGTTGTAAGCCACGCCTCTCCATCTCTTCGATCATGCACGATGCAACAGAGAGAGATGCTATGAGTATCAGAATGAGGTTCATTGGTAAGTTTAAGTTCTTGACACTTGGACTGCCAAAATCTTTACGCAGATAACTATCCTATTTTGTGTCATCCCTCTGATCACCGAACTACCGAATGATAAATGTCAAGTAAAATGTGAAGAGCTCGAGAAATAATACTTGCTATTATCCTATCTGTTTATTGTACATGTGAAACTGTTTAATCGGAACAAATACAAAACGGTTTACTAGCATGATATTACGAATAATCTCTCAAAAGTAAACACGAACACACAAAAATCATCTTAGATGACGCTCCAGGGTGCGTAAAAGAATCCACAGAACTTATATTTATATGAAAAACGCATCATGATAAAACATGACATCTCATTTCTTCCCAGTCCTGAGATGCCATGATAAAATGAGATACATTTGGCGATCTGAGAGAGCTCAGATTTGAGGATTTTTTAAATCTTTCATCTCAGATTATATTACATGTAATTAAGGGTCATAAAACTTTTGAGATCGTATCACCCGTGTCTGTGTTAATATCTACAATGGTAGTGACAACATAATACAATTACATGTTATGTAATACAGAGACATATAAAACAGAGATGAGTGACACTCATTGGTGCGGTTGTCCATAAGGGAAGTCCACGGTGGACTTTTGGTGAAAATGACCCTTTAGTAAATATTGTGAGTAGTTTATAATGACAATGGGAATTTTCCAAAATTCAAACATCAATATATTTTGAACTAGACAAAATCTTGCTTGTAACCCTTCTTGTTTTAAAGACATTTGAGTCATGGCTACCTTCTAGGAAGATTGACTTTATTGCTCTTGAACTGTTCTGCAGAGGGTCTTTTGAAGATTGATGAATTAAAATGGGGCTCAATGGAAACATGCGAAATTCACGAAGCCTGTTATTATCCACTGGGGCCATCTTTTGACACCACTTCGGTGGATTTCATAAATATATGTAACAATGATACTTTGATCAAAAAATGGTGCCGTATTTATAGCAAGTACAGTTCAAGGGTTTTATTGTCATAACTGACTGCACCCCGTTTTCAATACATCCACGGATAGTTCAACTCGTTTTAAAAACGTCACTAGTAGGATTGTAGTAAGACAATCCCGTTCGTAAATTACGTCAAGCTCGTCTTAACGTTGTCACTCGTTCTGATTGGAGAATGTGAAGACCATCAGAACATTATGAGCATGTTCTAAGATCTGAGGACCTACCCGTTCGTTCGTTCACATACGTTCAAATGTTAGTACACAGTTTAGCCCCGTTTTCGAGAACTCAGTGAGAACTCTGCAAATCAATAGTGGAGTGGTCTCACGTATGAAAACTTGAGACATCTGGAATCAAATATGGTGGCATGCTGAACAAAAAAAAGATCAAATTGAACGATACCTTTCAGCTTAACAATAAACATCACAAAATGTGAATACCAAGAAGACATTCACATTGACTTAGCATAGTGTATGGTATTATTTTTGCTTCTTTATTCATTAAATTCAAATATATTCGATATATGAAATATAATATTCGCTAAATCATTTTCCATTCGGTAAAAACTAAGTTTTCAAAACAGCCAATCGCTTAATATTATGTGCATTAAATTACATATTTTATTCGCTAAACGATATGTTTTTTGCGTATATTGTTATGGTATTCCTTAACAGTAACACATGCACAATATTGAATTTCTATTTGAACCCTACCGAAATAAGTTTGCCTATATTTACCAAATGGTTTATTTTTCTATGACATAGTTAATGCATTTTATCGAAAGCTAATTTGCTATTTACCGTATGCAATAAAGTAATATTCGATAACTTTCGTTGTTGTTCGATATTTTGTCACGTGACCTCGAGATTTGCAAAATGGCCGCGCAGCTATTCTTCATCGTTCAAATATATCACCTGACTGAAAGTCTCGTAAAGTATCGAATAATAACGAAATTTATCGAATGTGGCATTCGGTATTTACCGAATATAAATAATTTAAATACGGAATGTACAAACAATTGAATTATACGTGCGTTTAGGAAAACCAATAGATTCGCTGCATCACACAAATACATGTACACAGTGTATAAATATCAAATGTGAATGCCAACACAAAGAACAATTGAAACTATTTAGCGAATATAAATTGTACAGATTATTACAGTCGATAAAATAAAAAAACATTCGATAGATTGGGTAAAGGTTTAGTAAATTGTTTGTTTTATTTGGTATTTATGGAATATTTAATGTACCGAATAGAGAAGCAGACTTTGTTTAAACACCATAATAGTGATGCACTTAGATTTATCCTACATAATACAGTAGATATACAGGATAATGCATCTTATGTTTCGAAGAAAATTTTAACTTTTTCTGAGCTGTCAATGCAACATTTGGCTTCAACATCTTCTTTGACATATTTATTTTCTTAAACTGTATGGATAAACTATCAATATCAGCATTAAGAAGTGTAAATTCAGTTAAAAGTTTCAAAAAAGGGGAAATCCACGTTTAAAAGCCCATGCTCCCACCAAGGGTGCTCTAACATACATAGCATTATGTTCTTGGTTCATAAGACTAACAAGGACAAACAATGTTGTGATGCTGCTATTGTCTTCAATATACTTTTTTATTATTATGCATTATCATGCTCACAAATGTAAAAATAACGCTGAAAGCATTGGACATCATTCCATCGATCGCCATTATCACCCCAAATGAGCGTGCATGGTTCTAGATTGCCCTTGTGATATTTGGACGGCTGGCCATGTTGCCAATTCGTATAGCCCCCTGCAACTGCATTACCCTTGGTCCAATATTGTTGGTTTTTGCCAATAGAGTTTGCTCCTTTTTAAAGACAACACAAATAACGAATAGATCATGAAGGCATATTGATATGTTAAATGTTACCCGTTCAAACATAGTTATATTCCAGAACAAAGAATAAGTGCTTATACTGGTTCAAAAAGGTATTACTCCATGGTATGAAATTTCTAGGACGTCTAATTAAGGAGTTGGTGGCACCATATATGCATAATGATATTTGAGCTTATATTTAGATACCTACATGTGTCCCGCGTTTTATTTTTGTATAGCCGTGATAAATACGGCGGGCTTTTAGGGCGAATAATGCATGTCATTATCAGGGGTCAAAAAACGTGTAAAAAGTTTTTCGTATTTTTTTCATAATTTAATTTTGCGGTACGTGTTCCTTAAAATACCTTATTATATAAAAAATCAATGTTTCAACATTTTATGTCGTTTTGGAGATATTGGTGAAGCAATCAATAAATTGGCACCTTTATTACCTGTGAATAACATATGGTTATAATATGTCAGTTTTTTTACTAAATTAGTTGTAATACATTTTGAGATATGGACTGCCGTATTCAGGGGTCAATTGCCAATAAAGGGAGACTCGTTGTTCTTCCTTGCCTTATACCGTCTGCGATTGAAAATTGTTGCATATGGTTGAACATGAATTGGTTGCTTATATAAGGACCATATCATCAACATTTGATTGACTGCATGGATCTTTGAGAAATGTCGGCAATCATGTAAAAATGACAAATATAATTGTTATATTATACTGTTTGTTACACATTAATAAAAAATCAGAATTCTGAAGTAACAAAACATGAACGCACAAGTGGAAATGGAAAAGGCACAGCAACAAATGGAACGTGTTCAAGAGTATACTTATATAAGGGAATATCAAAGCATTAACATGCAAAATGCCAACGCATATTTGTTACGTACAACGAACGCCGAATATGTACTGTCAATGGACTTTATGTTGGAAACTATAACAATATGTCATACCACTCTTGGTGGTGACATAAGAAACCCTAGCAATCCCAAAGTCAAACGTCTATCAACCCCTCCCGACCCACGAGCTAAGTATAAACATCATTCCCAGACCATCACACCAAGTAGCACTTCATTACCTCCTTCATATGTGACATATAATTTCACCCAGAAACTAGTTTTTCTAGCAAGACCCGATATAAAAACAAAAGAGATATAGCCTGGGAGTAGCCATTTTGTCCCAAATTCTATCCAAAATGTCATTCATATGTAGGCACAAGTGCCAAATGCGAAAGACCAAAAATGACAAAACATAGCAAGAAAATGAAATGCCTAAGATCTCATTGCCAAATGGAAAGAAAATCCAACTATCCCAAATCAATATACAACGTGAAAGGAAAATGTATCTTACAACACTCACAACAATTCGTAAAAGTGCAATTCGCATGGCTTTGGCGACATAGAGTTTGTGCACAAATGAATAATGCCTGATTTGATAAAAAGTTACAAATTATATAACCTCTTTGGTACAAAATATACTCACCAAACGAAAACCTCATACCAGAACTCATGGCAAAGCATCTCGATGCAATGTTAAGGCATCTTTAATATAGAGTAAATAAAAAAATACCACTCCAACAATGATGCAGCAATAAAGAATGCAATCAAAAAATGATATAATTGAGTAAACTCTAAAACAAGAATACCCACATGTAAACTCAAAGATCATAAGGCCTTTTTGGTACAGAGTAAAGTCACAAAATCAATATTCCAGCCGCATAAAATATCACAAATACTATAGGCTTTACTGTATAGAATATCACGGTGTTATAGCATGGCGGTAACGACAAGGCGATTTGCAAAATTTTGCGGTAACGATAACAAAAAATGGCGGATGAGAAAGACAGCATGTCCTCTTTCTCGCCTGTAGGCAAGATTCTCAGATAAGATTTCCTTTTTTACTAGTTCCATTCGGTGACGTATATATGGATGGTTATAAAGAATGGGTCAAATCTGCCAGGTGGTTTACTAGAAGCGGAATATAAGGTGCAAACTTACCGACTGAGATGTCCAAGTTCATATTTTTTAGTGATTTCTCAGTATATGTGCCTCAGAGCCACTCAAACTATTAACAGTAAGTAAACCGTGTATAAACAAGACATAAAATGACAAATCCAGAACAGGAACGTGGTCATATTGTAAAAAATAAGGTTTCAAACGCAATGTCGTTAGACGACTACGTATGAATTCTATGGACGGTAACGTATTGTATTAGATGTACATTAGATATTTAGCGGACGGTTACGTGCATGTACACCTTTCAAGTTAAGGTTTCTAGTTCCGATAGCCTCTTTCCATGTAATTGTTATAAGGGGTAAAAAATGGAATATTGAATTGCTTATATTTGTTTTCAGGACTCGCAAGAGACGCTCTTGTTTGAGCCTCTGTTTGAACGAAGTTCTGGTTCTTTGTCTATTTTTTCAGTCAGAATGTCTCCAATATTTGTTTTGGAATCAAACACAACTTCGGACGTAGCCATGTTTGTAGGCTGCCAAAATTGAAGTCTCTCGCCGAAATGCTTGATAAGTCTTTTCTTTAGCTTCCCCAATCTATAATTTGGCATAGAATCTCCATTACATGATAATAGAGTCTTAAACTCGGCCAAAATATCTGCCAATCGCTTGGTTCTGCCATCTGTTATGACATCCTTCTCAATTGTATCACAAAGTTGTGTGAAAATATCCCTTAATTTTTTTTTAGTATGCATCTTTTTCTCAAAGGATTTGGATCTATTTCGAGGCACGTAAGAACTATAACACTGACTATGATAGCATATTCTGTCATGTTGTCTTATGTATGTCAGCATGTCTTTGTCATCATTTTCTTTTATCTGGTCATAGAAAGCATGACCCCTAACAATGCTTTCTGATATGGCAACATGAACCCTAACTTTTGTGCCTTTGATTTTTCTAGTTTTGTTGCAAAATATACATTGGCGAGGAGACATTTCATTAGGTAATATACCTGTGGGAATTTTCGGAGATGGTTCATCGTAAGTGTATGTGTCATTTGAAGATTGTTTCCTTTTACGAGATGACTGTTTCATTTTATAAGTCGAGGTATTGTTGGACATTTTTCCAATCCTGGTTTGGGTGGGACTTTTATTTTGAAATCAATTCGATATGTTATATACAAAGTAAAACCAAGTGTATATCGATCATATATTTTGAGCATTTACAAAGGGTTGTCCAGTAAAAGTCTGGAGAAAAATAAGGGTTTCAGAAAAATCGTCAATCAGAAAAATGGGAGTTGGTGAGAAAGAATTGGAATGTTCTAGAGAACAATTGGAGTGAAGTATTGGTTCCTAAAACTCGAATGGAAAGATCGGAAAACGAGAGATGTTGGATTGCTGAAATAAATTGAGAGAACCGGTCTTACAAAAAATGATTCGATGTCGTCTTTAAATATCGGAGGCTCGTCTGAAAGATAGGATGTGTGAAACACTATAGATTTCTCCCAATTCCAATCGGGACTTTGCACGCGATGGGTGAGTTGATATGATTGATAGGGTCACACCTTGGAACAACGATACATATCGTGAACACAGATGATAAAATATAGATAGTCAATGAAATAAAATATAAATGAGTACCTTTTATTTCGTATAATTCACAATCTCGCCCTGCTGAATGAAATCGTCTCTAACGGTGTCACTCATCCATCACGAAGGTTGGTTTCTGGTTCTTATTAATGACAGTATGGCTCTCACTTATCAATTTACATTTAGAATAGAACGAACATTTATCAAGTTATGAATTTCACAAATCTTGCTTTACTGCATGAAATCGTCCTGAATATAGTCACTCATCATGAAAGTTGATTTCTGGTTTCTTAATCAATCATTCTAGCGTTCTCATTTATAAAACAATCGATAATCAAAAAACTGAAATATATTATAATATGCATTCAATGTTTACTTTCTTACAACATTGCATGGTTATTTTATTGTGGGAGCACAGCATTGTGACACTATGATATATGCGACGCATTTGACTGCGCCTTCTTTATTCCTCGATGCAAATCATCTAGTTTAAAAATGTAAACATTCCAATACCAAAATTAGATTAATTATTTAAATGATACATCCTTTATATTTTTAATTGATTACGTTTTGAATATCATTAACAATAATCCGTTGTTTGACCCTTGAAAATGCAAGAAATATTTCCGTGAATATATTGTTTCTATAAGTACAAAACTAATATGTTACTAATTATAGATTTTCTGAATATTTCGCATAATTTGGTCACATCTGCACTGTCTTATTTTTTTCTAAATAATAAAACGTTGAAAAGTACCCTAGTGCAATGCACTAATTGAAAAATGACATTTACGTTAAAATAGTATTATATTTCTATGTAATCCTAATCCTTTAAATTATATATAAGTTTTGATCTACAATTTGAGTCTCATAAAATGCACTAAATTGCGCATGAAAAGTTTCACTTTTTTTACCTCTTGTGATGACAGACATAATTCGACCCGAAAGCCTTAATATTTTTTACCAAATGGCATTTTAAAAGCATAAGGACATATGCCCCTCCCTAAATATCGGTTCAAATGTCGTTATGCATATATGGTGCCACGGATTTGTAATATCTATGAGCCATACCATGGACTATATGTCTGATAGCTTTATCTTACTTAAACTTCAAATGTTCTTACCTATCCAAAAGTTTTTCATTGCAGTATTACGTATCGACCGTTCGATATAGTGCTGTTCGTTTGAAGAGCCTATGTTTACTAAATATGCACCCTGCGAAACACACAACGCACTAGCCTCAAACCATGTTAACTCGGGGTCTTTGCCGTATAAGTAGCAATGACCTGCGAAGAGGGAAAACCCACCTGGACACCCGGCTTTTGTTTCAGAAATGATTGCTAATACAGCTACCAAAAGAAAAACCGCTCTGGCTGTCTGCATCCTAAAATAAGTTTAACTTTGTAAAATGATAATGCAACAACTTTTTCTTTTAAAGGCTCCATATAGATGTCAAAACAATTTGGCTTATATTGTAGCCTTACCCTATTTCAAAAAGTGGTATTTTAAGGACTTTTTGCTAAAAAATCGTCAATTTATTGAAAATAGATTTTAGAGCTCACTTAAATTTTTTAGTTATAGTTTACAACCATGCATAGCATTCATCGTCGCGTGTCTTTTGCAGAACATTTTAGAAATTGGTTGATTAATAACCCTACTATCACACCAAACTAGTTCTCACTGCGTTCTCGAAAACGGGCTTCAACTGTATTCGAACGGACTGGACCTACTGGAGCCCGTTTGGGCTCTATATACAAACTTCATCGAACGTACTCGAACGGGTAGGTCCTCTAGAACTTAGACAATGCTCAAAATGTTCTCGTGGTCGTCACGTTCTACAATTAGAACGAGTGACAACGTACTTACGACGAGCTGGACGTACTACGAACGGAACCGTCGTACTTCAATCCTACTAGGGACGTTTTAACAACGAGTTGAACTGTCTGCGGACGTGTTGAGAACGAGGTAGAACTAATTGCAAACGGGTTTAAACTGATTAAGAACGTATTTAACACTGCTTATGAACGAGTTAGCAAAAATATAGCTATCACACCAAACAAGTTGCCACTGCGTTCTTCAAAACTGTTTTTAAACTGTGTGCGAACGGAATGCACGTAGCTGCAACTTTCTAAGGTCTATTTACGAACTTTATGAACGTTCTCAGACGGGAATGTGATTTTAGAATTTTGAATCGATTCAAAATTCGATGACGACCATACCGTTCTGTAATCAGGTCATGTTGACCTTCTAGACTAAGGGACGCGTTCTACGACGTTGCACTCCGACGTGGTGCGACCTGAACGAACTGCGAACGAGATGGACGTATTGAAGACTGTTTAAGAACGAAGAAGCTAATTATTTCAGACATATTTCCCGACCACAGCCAGACTGAGCCCGTTTGACGACGTTTTCGTAGGACTGGCAAGAACGGGTAAGAACTAGTTTGGTGTGATAGGGGGGTAAGCGAGAAATGAACTCACCATGCATGAAAGGTATTCAGAGAAAAAATGCATTCTAGATAGTTAGACAATCAACATAAGTTTATTTTGAAAGTTAAACATACTTAGTAAAGCTTGACATTAATTTTTTTCAATGAAATCATGATGACGTTGCTTAGGGTGCACATTTCCTAATATGCTAAAAACATTTAAGTGGCATATTAGATATATACTTTATTATTTGTTTATTAAATTATTATTTTGTTCAATCTTTGAAATGGTGTTAAAGAGACAATATGTTTGAATACAATTTAATATTTTATGATTCAAAACTTTTATCTGACAAATTGCGGGAAATTTGAGCACTGTATTTGAGAAATAATTTTTTACCCCAATTTTTTTAATCTTTAAAATAACTTTTAAAACATTTGTGGTAATCTAGGAAAGCTAATTTATCATTGGAAGACGTACTGTTTTATCATATATACGAACCACTGCATTGATTAGCCATTAATTACACGTTTACACATAACACATTTTGAACTTGAGCTTTTAATTATACTCATCATCAACATATCCCATAAATAAAGTACAATTAGCATCAGGTTTCATTATGATTCAGCAATCATTTTAAAACGTATATATCTCTTTTGTTATTTAGAGTCAGTTCAATCATAGTTCGATTGTGATGTTATATACTGAATAACTGTAGTAAGAGTTATCGAAAAATTAACTCACCTGAAAACTGTTTCTTCTCCGTTGCAATTGGTTTTGAGAAGACGAAACACTACGTTTTATAGTTGATCATTGCCCAACGGGTAAGCTTTTCATTGGCTGATAGAAATAATACGTTGAAAAACTAAGTAAACGTATCAGATGTATTCAGAGATATTTACATTTAACATAAAACCACAAAATATAACCGCAAACGTATGAACACAAGGATGATTGACTCCCAGAATTGAAGTCGATATATTCCAACAATGAAAACGCGGAAATGTCGTTATTTTCTGAAAACTGAGCGAGCAATTTTTCTAAACTCATTTCAATCATTTTCAAACCATTTGTTTGTCAATTCTATAAGAAAACGGTACTCTCTGACCAGTCTACATCATCGTAGGTATGTTATAAATCGTTTATGTCACTATCGTGGCACATATGCCCTTGGTTCTCAGAGATCAATGTCCCTCCCAAGGTCGGGCCATATATCACTGAGACCTCGGGCATATATGGCACGATAATGACATAACCTCTAATTATGTAACATTTTTTGTGAATAATACATGCATACTTCACGCATTTAATATGTAGCAGTGGAGGTAACGATTTAGTATTTTAATCGGGAATACTTAATCTTTAGTTTATAAAACAGTCAACAATTAGAATACGAGTTGCATTAAGTATAGACTGAGACTAACGTAATTTTATGATGGTCTAAAGTATAGTTGACCCTGAAAAGAACACCCGAGCATAATGAAAAGAACACCCAAGTATAATGAAAAGAACACTCGAGTATAGTGTGATATTACAGAAAAATATTTTTGCACGACATTAAAGTAAATTGGGTAAATCCGGAGACCATGTTTCGATAGCCAATACAAGTAAACTTTTGACACGTACAATTACAAGAATAGATACAATTCAATTTATTTATGGACGTGGGCTTTACACAATGAGTAAATTATCATATTTTCTGAATATGATAAAATATGGCTAACCTCAATATTGTGATATAGTAGAGAACAATACATTTTAATTCATTCATTTTTATATGGTCCACACCGCAATTATATTTTTTATTATACTGAATAAATTATGGCCAGCCACGAATATATAATATTCTTACAAAACAATAGTTTTAATTTGAATAAAAAACATTTCATTGCGAATTGGATATTTCTGTGGAAATGATAATCCATAAAACCGTGGAGACATATTTGATTAAATTGATTAAATTAAATTTAATTTGATTAAATGTTTTATTCTAATGATTGGTTTAAAGTGCCTGATAAACTATAAAATGCGCATGCGTCCAGGTGTTGATAAACTATAAATAGCGAAAACCCAGGGTTTGTCATCACAAGGTAAGCCAGGACGTGTTGAGCGAACATCCAGTGTTGATATTGAATTTACATGTAGCCAGATAAGTTTCCTTATTGAAATTACATATAGTTATTAGCAATGCTGTCATGTATGTTAATAATTAATGATTCATTTAAAGATGTCGCCATCTGTCAGTAATAGTTTTCCCCAGACCGCTTTAGCGAAATCATTCTATTATATTATATCGACTATGTTATGTTCTCAGTAAGAAAATAAAGCACGTGAAATATTTGCAAAACACCAATCTGTATTTGCTTGATTATATGTAACACTGGCGACGAGGATAAAGTTACCTCCATGTCAATATCGATATTCACTATATTCTGGACTGTATAACACCCAGTAAGTACCATGGCTGACGGTGAAGAACAGACATATCCAATTCGTGACTTTAATTTGAACTTAAAGTTCCAACATTTTGATGACTCTGTTGAGAGTGTGGATATATACTTCGAAAGGCTAGATCAATATTTCGAGGCAGCAAATTTAAGACCAACAGACGATAAAATTGTGCCATTAACATTGACATTGATCGGTGCAAAAATGTACAAAACCCTAAGAGATTTATCAACACCAAAGCGTCCACATGAACTGTCATATGGACAGATAAAAGACACACTGATTAAACATTACTCTCCGAAACCTCTTATTATAGCGGAACGTTTCAAATTCTATAAAAGAGATCAGGATTCGACAGAGTCATTTGCGGAATATACTGGAATCATCAAAGCCATGGCGGACAAATGTGACTTTGGGAATTTTCTCCCACAAGCCTTACGTGATAAACTGGTTTGTGGTATCGCAGATGAAAATATTCAGAAGCGACTGTTGAATGATGACATGTCATTCCAACAAGTGTATGAAAAGGCTGTAACTATGGAGTTAACATATTCAAATATTAAGGAGATGCAGTCACCTTCTGCAGTGAAAAGTCCTACAGTGAACAGATTAAAGGATGTTGGAAAGAAGGACTATAAATATGATAAATCCTGTTACAGATGTTTGGGCAAAGGTCACAATAGTGATGAGTGTTACTTCAAAAATGAGAAATGTCATAGATGTTCACGCGTTGGTCATATTAAAAAGGCATGTAACAACAGAACACTGAAAGATTCAAAGTTTAACCACAAGAAGAAGTCAAAAGGTAGATATCGTAAACACAATGTTAAGTCTGTCGATGCCGACGATCACGACAGATCTACTTCAGACAGTGATTCAGACAGTGAACTGTACTATATAAAGGTGAACAGTATTTCTAGTAAGAGATTAACCCCCATAAAATAATCATTGTCGGTGAATGGACAACATGTTGAGTTTGAAGTTGACACGGGGTCAGCGTTTTCTATTATGTCAAAGAAAATGGCTGATGACAGATTAAATGACATTGATGTGACACCATGCAGTTTAAAACTGTATACGTACACTGGAGAACAGATAAAAGATGTTAGCGAAACTACAGTCAAAGTTGAAACAGGCAGTGGCTCGAAGGATTTACGCTTATTATTAGTGCCAAATGATGGACCACCACTACTAGGCCGTGATTGGCTTCAACATGTAAAGTTAGATTGGACTCAGATTAAAAATGTACATGGATCAAGTAATCAGCCAAAAGAGCTGAGATCTGTACTGAAGAAACATGATAAACTGTTCAATGAAACTATTGGATGTATGAAAGGATTCAAAGCAACATTCAAGCCCAAGGGTGGTAGTACTCCTCAGTTTCGTAAACCGTAACCTGTACCGTACGCTTTGCGGGGTAAAATGGAAGAGGGCTTGAAGAAAATGGAAACTATGGGAATTATTTCTCCAGTGGCTCAGAGCGAATGGGCTACACCATGTTTTCCCATATTAAAAGGCAATGGCTCAGTTCGCATATGTGGTGACTATAAATCTACATTGAATCCGGTGCTTGAAGATAATTCGTATACCATGCCTGTCATTGAGGACATATATGCAAACTTAGGGCATGGCGAAAAATTCACCACACTGGATTTAGGTAATGCGTTTACCCAGATCGAATTATCGGAGGATACTAAGATGTATACTACAGTCAACACGTGTAATGGATTATACGTCTACAATCGTCTCAATTATGGTACCAAAGTGGCCCCAGCGATTTTCCAAAGGGCAATGGATTCTATTCTGCGTCCTTTACCCGGAGTATCGTGTTATTTGGACGATATAATTATCACAGGCAGAGATGATAAAGAACATTTGGAGAATCTCAACAAAGTGCTACAAGTATTGGAGGATCATGATTTGAGATTGAATAAATCAAAGTGTAATTTCATGCAGAAATCAGTCTCATATTTAGGTCATGTGATTGATAAAGATGGCCTACATAAATCTGAGGAAAAAGTGAAAGCTATTGTGAATATGCCAAGACCACAGGATAAAGCTGGTCTTCGCTCATTTCTTGGAAAAGTTCAATATTACAACAAGTTTATTCCAAAATTGTCTACAATTATCGGTCCACTCAATGGATTACTACACAAAGATGCCGAATGGAATTGGAATTCTCAGTGTGAGGAAGCATATCTCAAGTGTAAAGAAATATTAGCTTCAGATCTTGTGCTGACACACTTTGATCCAAATCTCCCCATAAAGTTGGATACAGATGCATCAATGAAGGCTGTCAGAGCCGTAATTTCACATATCATGCCCGACAAATCGGAACGTCCCATTGCATATGCCTCTAAATCACTCAACAGTACTCAGTGCAACTACAGCATGATTGATAAAGAAGCTTATGCCATTATATGGGCACTCAAAAAATTTAACATGTATTTATATGGCCGCGAATTCGCCATAGTTACTGATCATAAACCCCTTCTTAATATATTCGATCCATCGAAGGCTACATCAGTGATGGCCTCCGCACGATTGCAACGATGGTCATTGCAACTACAAGGATATAATTACAGGATTGAATATCGTAACACTCGTGAGCATACAAATGCTGATACACTGAGTAGATTGCCGTTACCAGATAAGGACTCTGATAAACCCGATACTCAGACATTATTCTACATATCTCAGATTGACGCTTTACCAGTAGATGCTATGCAAATTGCCAAAGAGACGATATTACCAAGTACAATACAGAGTTGTATTCATATTATACAAAACGCCATGAAATGACACTACAAAGTGATTGCATTATGTGGGGTATTAAAGTGATTGTTCCTGCAAAACTTCGACATTTGATATTAAGTGAACTACATACCGGACACTTAGGCATAGTCCGCATGAAAGCCCTAGCTCGTAGTCATGTCCACTGGTATCACATTGATAATGACATTGACAATTTAGCCAAATCTTGTCATGGTTGTAGCGAAAATGCACGTCAACCAAGACTTGCACCACTTCACCTTTGGGAGTGGCCTGAAGACCCATGGAAGCGTATTCACGTGGATTACGCGGGACCCATATTTGGAAGCATGCACTTAATTGTTGTCGACGCTTACAGTAAATGGCCAGATGTTGTAGGAACTAAATCTACAACTCCTAGTGCTACTATTGAACTGTTAAGACCACTTTTTGCACGATATGGATGTCCCGAACAATTAGTCTCAGATAACGGACCACAATTTGTCAGCGATGAATTCGAACACTTTATGAAGGCTAATGGTATTCGTCACATTACCAGTAATCCAATGCACCCAGCCACAAATGGGCAGGCAGAAAGACTTGTGCAGTCTTTTAAACATTCGTTGAAATGTATGAAATATGAGTCTGGAAACACCCAACAGAA